ATGTCCAACTCGATCCTGAAGTGAGAGACGATCCACTGGAATTACTTCCTTCGATCGTCATTAACAATGGATCACGTAAAGAACTATGAATATTTGTACCTAAACGAAACCCAGCAAGAATCATCGATCCAGATTGAGGTGTGAAGTAGAAACCAGTATTTTGTCCGCACCGTGACAAATACAAAGAGATATTACATACACCATGACTTGTAAACTCTGTAGTTAGGTTGCCATCGAAGATATTCACGGCTGGTTGAGTAGGCCAATATGAACCAGGCTGATAACCAGAATAAGCAGCTAGACTATTGCCACCAGCTGTTGTGTTCCAAATCGGATGCAAAGTCTAGTTTATTGGTGTCATAAATGTTATATCTAGTAGGAAAATAGAAAGATGTTTCGTATAAATGTCGCTTTTCTTCATTTCTACGAACTTGTCGAGCTTCGATTGTTGAAACTATACACGTTTGTATCGGTGTTGGTTGTCACCAATTTCAATTGACCTTGATTGAGATTTGCGAAGAAAAGAATACAGAATTGAGTTTTGGAAGAATAAATCAGTGTGGAACAAAGTGGATCGGACGAACATTGACAAAGACATGAATTAGTTGAATTGATGGATGAAAGATTACTTAATAAATAACGAGAATCAAATGGAGAGAAATATGCATTTCGATACAAATTTATCGGAGTTGTCATTACGGATGGGATCAGAAAAATAAGAATGATCGATGAGAACATGATTGTGACAAAGTTTCTTTGAGTTATGTTCTATTTACTTCTGAATATGTCAAAACAAACTCGCGAACAGTATATTAATGGCGCATATTAGAAAGATTGTCGAACATTTATTGTTTCTTTCGAGATTCTCGAGTGCCATTAAGAATTTTATCGACAAGAACGCATTTAAGCGTTTGAAATAATAGATTTGTTTTATCAAATGGAACTTTTCTCCATTTATTTAAGCATAATTATACACATCATTTTATTTGATTTTCATTTTGTCAAAAGTACATACTGTGTAAATTAACGTAGGAGACTATTTCAATGATCGCATTAAATCTTCTACAAAATCAGAATGACGCAAATTTTCTTCTTGAAAAATAAGAGTACATTAAAGATGAGAATGTAGCTGTGGGTCAGACTGGTATGCAAATGTGCTGCTCTGACTCCCTTCATCGCTATGAATAAATTTATGCGAAATATTCATAAGTCTCCAATCGATTGTCTTTATATCGTTGTGTTACAAGAAGAGCATTTTATGTTCAATAGCGGTTGTAGTTGGCACCTTTGAAATAGTTTGGAGCATTGTATGATTTGCAATTAATATGTTGGAAATATTTTTGACAATGCTGACACGGAATAACCATTTTTTCCCAATAGAAATTGTTGATGTGAGTCAACTTGTTGCAATGGGGATAGGAGAGAGGATGTTTGAAACTTCGTTTACGAATAGTACACTTTATCGCACATCCATGTTGATATTTGTGGAATCCACCGTACCACGAGTTTAAATTAAAGCAATGTGAACAGACATGTCCAGCACGAAATTGGATCTCCCTGGTAATAGGTTTCATTGGAGAAATAATTTGTTTTAGTGCTATGCGGACAATTCATATGTTGAAACGATGTCTTGCATTTGAAACATGTTCGCTTCTGTCCACATTGATAATCTGTTCCTTTCCGAATATTAGTAGCATTGCAAGTTAGGCATTGGGCATGTTTAATCCGTTTTGTGCATGACCAGTATGTTAATGTTACTCCTTGCAAATTCTAAGTTGTATTCGAGAAAACCGAGGTTTTGCAATGTGGACAATTGATTTGTCGAAATGCAATTGCACATCCACAGCATGTTATTAAATTGCTTTGTGCATAGTTTGCCGTAGAACACGAGAAACAATTCACATATTGATATGGTTTTCTGCATGTATAACATGTTTTAAAAGTTCCTGAAAGATAAGTCACGTACTTCGAAAAGTCGTCTCTTGTGCAGTGAGGACATATCGTATGTTGAAATTTATTTTGACAGAAGATACACATTTGGCAGGTACCTTGCTTATAATTGTTCCTTGGGCAAAGATGCATTTTTTTGCAATGTGGACACAGGAGTTTTTGTAACTGTCTTTGGCATGAATTGCAGGATGTTAATTATCCATAGTTGTAATTAGCATTTTTATAAATATTTACTGATGAACAATACGAACAACTAATAGTTTGAAATTTTTTTTATACAGGTGCGACCAGTAACAATACTTCCTTCTATATCATTCGCATTTTTGAAAAATACATCTGCGTTTCAATGCGCACAGCTCAAATGTTGAAAAATTCTTTGGTAATTGGAACAAGAGTAGTATATACCGGAACCATGGGTATTAACATTCGCTCAAAGGTTTTCTACATTGCAATGTAGACACATGATCATTTTGAATGTTTTTGGACAAAACAAGATCTTATCAGGCACACCTGAGAAATTAGAACAAATTAATATGAATTTATTTCATATATTTATATGTTCTGCGCACACTGAAACGTATGTAACTTACAATTTTGAATGTTGGACTTCTGCGGCACGATGGGAGGAAGCACAGGCTTTGGTTTTGCCGATATTGATGGAGGTTTTTCCGCAGGAATGACCTTTTTCATATGTGGAAGGATTGGAAGACTCTTCTTTACATTGGGATTATACATTTCTCTTAATTTCACAATACTAAAACCGTTCCAATGAAATGGATCGTCGTCAATTAGAAGTCTCGTGCTCAGCATAAGAACGATTTTCCATGTTAACACTCGATTTGAAATAGAGTACAATCTTTGCTTTTGTCGAAAAACCTTTCCACAACGCTGGACTCGGTTGGTAATCATCAATAATTGCTCGTTCATTGACATTTTCAATATCTAGCAAACGCTTACTCATTTTTATTGTTTTACTACTATGACGAGATATTAAAGTCGGAAAGGAACGATCACTGTTTTTAGAATCAGCAGACGAAACTCGATGTGTTAATAGAGTTAACTTGTGAATAAATGATGAAATAACTAAAGAGAATGTATTTTAAGTGACAGGCGCAATAGAAATAGAAGTAAACTAACGTTCTTATCTAATATACGACACAATCCATTTATCTGTTGCAAGACGTTTTTAATGTTTCGATTACTTATACCTTATCAGTTTATTTAAATCTTTCGAAGTATCGTTTCACTTTCGGATAAGTCTTTTAGTAATTAGTGTATAGATTTTATTATGAAACTGACTTTTGAAAAACACTAGAAACCTACTGGTTACATTTTCCTTTGTGTGCTCATTGTGTACTGAGATTTACATAGAATCAATCAAAATCTAGCAGAATATATTACGATTATCTTGTCAATTAGCAATTTAAAAGGCAGTGTTGATGATTTTGTCTTTTTTTTACCGATAAGATTTAAACTATGAGAGTTTTCTAAGAAAATATTAACTACTGATTATTATTTCTCTTATTGATATAGATTATACACTTTCATACATAATGAATGAGTAAACATTATATTAAATGAAATTTCCCATTAATAAAAGCTGATTCTTGAAATCATCCGGTAGCATTGTATACAAAAGCGAGGTGACACCGAGTGTTGTAGGATAAAATTTATGTTCCCAGACAATTATTTGAATAAAAACCCAGATAAGTTTGATTATTTCGAATTACTATATGGAGAACATTATTCTAAGTGTATTGTATTAACTGACCTAATAGGCCCAGATCTTTTTGACTGTAATTAAATGGTCCAGTGATATAAATCCACATTTCAATGGTAAAATCATTTGTTCTTGTACCAATATATGGAGAAGATGCCTTCAAATGTTGTGTACTGTTAGAAAGAATAGTTGAACCTTGATCGTTAACTCGCGGATGAAACATATGAAACACCAACTGTTTTTGACATGTACATAAAGTTTCATTCATTGATGATATCTCTATCAAATAGTTAGAGGAGATCAGCGAAAGTTGTGAGTGGTAATTGTAGAAAATAAAACGTAGTATTGACTTCGTCATTCAGCTGGTTACGAAAAAACTCTCGGCTGTTATTGAACAGTTAGCATGTTTCGGTTATTCCGATAGCAGTTGAACGAGACAAATATTTGATTCGAATTCATCATCTGACATAAACATTTGTTATATGAGCCATTGTTCGAACCGGATAAAAAATTCGGTACACTTAAAAGAACCATTTTCTATCGAACCAACTTGAATAATTTGAACATGATTGAAAAGTAATAGGAGAGTTAACATGGTCATCATAATCATATAATGACTGTAAACAATGAACGATTTGCAGTTTGTTTTATTTCACAAGAATGTATATTTTCCCATCGAATATTTCTCGACAGTTCCTAAGTTTCACTGGATGAGAGAAGAAACTATCGGAAAAGTGATTAAAATATGTTCATGTACCGTGCATCAGATAATCAAGACAAATAAATTTGACAATAACCTAGTTCTCAAACAAAGCATAAAAAACTGGAGCTATGTACTGTCGGAAAACGGAAATTTGATTAAAACCAAAAACGAGAATACACGAAGGTGAAATGAGGATATTTTCCTTCAATTTACTCTGCTCGCATAGTTATACCATCATCCTTTATATATACATTAATACAAACAATGAACAATAGGAAGACATATCTGTAAGTTTCACTTTCTTAGATTATAAGTATTATAAGCATAAGATGTACAAGAACGCGAAAAGGATAGATAAGAATGGGAATGTGAGAGCGACGAGTAAGGAAATACCCAAAACCACACCTTCATCCAATGATATTTTCATAATATGTTTGGTGCAGAATCGAAACGTGGATTACTCCTTGAAAAACTGATACCACAGCAAAATTTCCAGTATAGCAATGATGTTCACATCGGATTTTAGCTGAGGATCATCTGAAGATAAATTAGTAGAGTTAACATTATACATCAATCGGGCGTTCTTCAATGCTTCTTTGAGATTACGTTTTCTGAAATAAGCTTCAGCGAGGCTATAATAAGTTGCAGCTAAATCGGAGTGATTCGGTGGATCTGCATGAAGTTGAATAACGAGAACTTGGTGAAGACAATCCATTTGTCTGTCATAACTGCCTAACATCTGGCAAACTTGTGAAATATTGTTAAGGGATGCTGCAATGTCCAGATGGTTAGATGGATGTAGTTTTACTACAATTTCGTGATGTTTTTCGAACATATCCAGTGCTTGCTTGTATTCCATTTGCTGAGAGTATGCTGCGCCTAATCTGTTGTATGTCATTGAGAGTATCGAAAGATCTGGTGAAGGTGATTGGTGATGCATATCTAAAGCTTTTAAGAGACATTCGGTGGCATGTTGATAGTGTCCTTGCTCATAATATGCTCGCGAAAGACCATTGTAAGTGTCAGCAATTCTGTTGTGATTTATTGGCATTTGTTTCAATAGAATACCTAGACTTACTTCAAACGCTTCTCGTGCTTTGTCATAATTTCCCTGATCACGAAAGACAGTGGCTAAATTGGTGCAGGCTTCCCGAATAAGAGGATGATCTACTGGTAATAACTTATATCGTATTTCCAAAGTTTTTTCTAGACTGGCAATAGCTTTTTCGAAATCATGTGCATGTGAAAATATTAGCGCGAGGTTATTGTAAGATGTTGCAATGTCCAAATTATCTGGCGGAAATACTTTCTGCTGAAGTTGTAAAGCTTTCAGAAACCAAGGCAATGCATCTGTACATTTCCCGTGTTTATAATATGCAATACCTAATCTATTGTACGTGTTGGCAAACTCAGGATGATCGTGTGGAAGAGACTCAAGTTGTATTTCATGGGCTTTCTGCATATACTCGATGTGTTTTTCCTGATCATTAGTAGAGCCGCATAATGAAGCAAGATTAATATACAATGCTGCTAATGATAAATCATTTCTGTGAAGCATCTTCAACTTGATATCCAAAGATTTTTCATACATTTCCAACGCTTCATGAGGTTTTCCTTGTCGAGAAAACACAGTACCAAGACTGTTGTAAGTATTGGATAAACCTATTCTATCGGATGGTACTGAATCCAACTGAATAGACATGGCTTTATGTAGATACATACTTGCTTCGGTGTAATTTTTCATGAGTATATAAACTTGGGCTAGGGCATTGTACGACTCTGCAATATCGTGGTGATTTGCTGGGTCAGTTTCTAATCGAAAAATTAAACATTTTTTGAATGTGTCCAAAGCTTCATGGAGTTTGTTTTGCCTCACGAGACCACTGCCCAATACGTGATACATTGAAGTAATATGCACATATTCCATCGGCTGCAAGGTTATTTGTATTTCCAAAGCTTTCTTTGTCAATTCTACTTGATTGTCATATCTTCCTTGTTGATAATATAGTACAGATATATTGAAGTACGTTTTGGCTAATAAAGCTCGACTGTGCATAGGATCATTCGTGCAAAGACTAACACATTTCTGATACATTTCCAATGCTTCTTCAAATTTGTTCATTTTATGATACATTGAGGCCAAATTAAAGCAAGTTCCGACTATATCCGAATGAGTTGGCAATAAGAATTTCTGTCGTATTTCAAGCGCTTTTTTCAACATCTCCACTGCTCGGTCATAGTCTCCTCGTCTTCCATATATAAGTGAAGTGTTATTATAATAACGCGCAATATCAGGGTGATCATCAGGTAAATGTTTTAATAGGTTTTCAAGAGATTTTTCAAACCACTCGATTGCCTCTTGCAAATTTTCTTCTTTGTCACAGACCGTACCTAACCCACGAAAAAATTTTGAAACAGATACCGCTGATCGCCGCGGTTTTTTCGTAATGGCTGCGGTTATATCGTTGAAGGTCGCGGTGTCGAAAAGAAACCGCGGTTAACAGCGGTGTGGCGCACCGCAACATAAATATATCGCGGTATGTTCAAAACAAACCGCAGTGTGATCACCGTTCTAGACCGTGTTTTCGAAAGTGCGCGATGAAATGTAGGTTACCAGTGGTATTTGAGAGGCGCCATCTTCCACAAGTTTATATTCTGCGAGCTTCTCATTGTTAACCGCGATCTTCAAATTTTCCCTANTTCATTCGAGTTTCTTTCAAACGACTTGTCTCACCGATGTACACTTTTTCACAATCTAAGCATGGAATAGAGTAGACTAAGTTTTTATTCTTTCTCTTCTCATCTGCTCCTTTGAGTATAGGTAAGAACACGCTACTTAAACTATTATTAGAGTGGGATTTGGTGTTTATGGCAGATGTATCCCCTTTTTTGAATGTGATTTAAACTGGTCTCCTTTGTGACAAAATGAAACAATTGATTTTGAGATTAGTGAGAGTTTCAAACGTTTCCATTGATGCTTTCATAAAAGGATCTTGAATATTTCTGGTATTCACATAGACGTTCATCAATTTGAACAAACGATAAATGAGGCTATAGAGGTAGAAAGTCTGATAATAAGTGTTCAAGAAAGTAACCAAGTAGTGCAATGTTTTTAAGAAGTACGGTCTATTCGTCTTTTGTGATAGTTTGTTCAAATATTACACAGACGGATGTTCTGATTTAATGTATCAGATCGTAGTTAAGCATTCCTTCTTTGTTTCCCCTATTGTCGATACAGGGTTCGCAGTTTTCTTTTTTAAATTATTCATGTATTGGATTAATAGTTTCCATAACAAAAAACAACAATTATGATGTATGAGAGAGAAAAGAAAAACAACTGAACTTTTATTCAATTGATAACGTACATTCGTTGAATGTTACTATTTGATTTGTCAATCAATTTGGTCGTATTCATGTTTTTCATTCTCAAAACGTTGACGATGTATTGTGCTGTGAATGTTATTCCGCTGACTGGTGTATATCGATATGGGTCCAATCCAGGTGGACGTAAAAATGGAAAGTCAGTTTCGAGGATTATACGATCAATAATATTTGTTTGATTAATTAGCCAACTATTGAATTGTTTCTGTGATTCGGGATCGTCTTGTGCAATTACTGATCCATTCAAGCCGATGAATGAATTATTGAAATAATTTAAGAAATCTGATATAATATTCAAATCGCTGTTTGTGTTTATACAATGCCATTGAATGTTGTGATTATGGTTTAAAAATTTCTTCAGTTCGTTCAGAATAATTTGAAAAGAGTTTTCACCGCGACCATGAAGAACAACCTGGATATTTAGTGTGGCAGCTATCTGGAGTTGAGATCGAAATGTAAACAGCTGCGAATCGAAGGAAGATCTGCTGGTATCGTCGATGCCACACTCGCCGATAGCGACTTTGCTTGTATTTAAGTTAATTTTATTCTCAAAAATATTTTTGAGTTCTTGTAATGCACGTTCGTGATTAATAGGAATATACTTTGGATGAATACCGTATGTTGTAAAGATTTTAGCATTGGGATTGTCGATCATGTAATTTATGAACCATCTCTGGTAATGATGTCGATTATCTATTAACACGATTTTTCTTCCATAAGCAAGTTGTGAATTGAAGTCAACTTCATTAAATCCATATTTGAAGAACAAATCAACGTGGCAATGGCCATCATATAATGGCAGTCCTAGTGGTAGATGATATTTCTTCTTACATGAACAGATGTTGTAAAGACTTCCTTCACAAATAGCATTCATTTTCAAGAAAAACGTAAAACTATGACAACAAATCGATAACTCAAAGAATTGAATCAATCATTTTATATATTCATTCCACACTGATCTTGCCTGAACTTAGTCAAAACAGAAACAAAAGCTAATTATCATTCATTCTTGATAAACTTTTCAAACAATAATAACACAGTCATGAGGAATTACGTCAATTAAGATTGTCTTGATGTCCTGTTTATCTATTTCGAAACCTATCATGTCTATTAATCATTTCTATCTTTATTCAATCCATTCAAAGAGCAATCAACACTGCATGAATCACTTTCCACGTAGTAATATCAATAGAACCCTTTCTACTCGAACTACGTTTCTTTCGTTAAGATTATTTAGCTTAAAACGAAACAATTTTCTTCTAAGAAAAAGTTTCAATATTGACTGTTTTTTCAAAACGCTCGACTCAAACAGATGCCATAAGGTGACTTTCATCATCACGAGAATGATCAACATTGAAACATAAAAGTTAATACTATGTGTTCTATTTAATATTCATTCGTACTTGATATCATTCATCTTCATTGAGCTCAAAATCAAATTTTGATTTGATAATATAAAGTAGAATCAATATCAATAAGGTCAAACGAACCACTCTCATCTCAATTCATCTGTGTATGAGTATGATTGCTATTTTGAGATAGTTCCACTGCATGATATCAAATTTTGACATTAATAGTGAAAATCGTAAAATAGAGAAATATTCTACCTATAATCCTGTACTTTCGAGTCAATATGATACTTCATGATATACACGAACGAAAAGAGATTGTACATATCAGTAAGTAAATTTCAGCTTTTCCCATTGCAATTGAAAGCAGACTTCCATTCTAATGAGCAGCAAAAACAACTGAAATCAGTAAGTTGAACTAAACAATCCCAACTCAAATTCGCATGTTGAGACGAACAGTTGAGTTTCGGGAAAATCATCGAATTGACATTCATACCATACGATAATTTAAGTGATAGAAAGCATTCGTACAAATAAGTTAATCTCGATCATATAGATTGAAATTCACGCTGAAACAAATGTAAGCATTTTCAGAATTTGTTTCTCCATGTGAAACAAAATCAATATCAATTTTTTGTTCCGATAATATTGACTCGAATTGATGTGAACCATTGCATTTAAACGACAGATTGGAAACGGTATCAATATTCGTGTTGTTAATAATATCACACTGAATTCATGTGAACAACTTTTCGAATATGACTTTTTGGGTAACTATGACCGAAAAATTCTGAAATTTTCGGTGAGGTTAACAAAACAATTGATATGTGTCTCCCAGTAGATGGGATCTTTTCACTTGATTTTAATGACATGAATCTGTCAAGTACCGATGGTTGTTTTCCTGGTTTAAGTTTCAATTTCTTCAACTGTTGTCCATCTCATTGATATTCAACACCGATACACACCATGTTCAATTTTCACGATATTGATTGAAAAAGTTAAATCCATATAAAATTGGCTTCGATAACATAAATGATTGATATTGAATCTTTTCACTTTTAACAATGCCAAGTAAGATCAATAAAAATAGTTCATCTTCCAAAGAACAATTTGAATAAATACCAACAATTATTATTTATAATATCCATTGAGATTCATAAGATTTTCCAATTTTGACAAAATCTGATACAATCCATATGCGATACTTCACTGCCAAAGAAAGAAGATGCATTTCATTGAATCTTTTCTTTCTTTTTATCCGATTCGAACAAACCCTTGATATCTTTTGATTGTTGAGTGAACATTTTCATAATTTTAATTCAAATAATGAAGAAATGTAATGTGTTGCAATACAATAAAACGACGAACCCTGAATAATATTTGTATGAGTAATATTAGGATCGAATTTTGAATTGAATGGACTTAGAATGCTCTTTTCTGTCGCTTGCCACGCTACTTTATTTGAGAAAAGATCACGCTTTTATACAGTCAAAAAAAAGGAGAAAACCTAATGAATCTATATGGAAATATTCCATCTAAGATAATCCATCATCTGAACAGATGATCCATATAGGAATATACCAAGAACGAAAGAAACATATATGTCAAATGACGTCATCAAAGAAAAGAAAAGAATATATAGTTCGTTTCCTAACACCTCCTTCCCTTCGATAGATGAGCGTTTCATCTGCTCATCGAAAAAACCGAAGATTGGATAGAGAAATCGAACACAAATGAGTAGTAAGAGAGAAAAAAAAGACGAACCATTACGCATAAAATAAAACCAATTATATGCATTGAATAAAATTCCAGCCATCTTGAACAAGTAAACCATTTCCATGTTCCCATTGATTATTTCCAACATATATGAGTCGTCAATCGTAATCGCGATCATAATATGGGAGAAAGTTGTTAACATGTTCTTCTTGTTGATACTGTCGTTCTGTGTGTTCAACTAGAAACTTCACATTGCTAAACTTTCGAACAATTACAAACGGACCATGAAAGCGAGCATCGAGCTTCGACCGCCCTGTTAAAATTTTCACCCAAACTAAATCTCCCTCATTGTATTGTGGGTTCATTCGTCTGTGATCGTATCGTTGTTTACTCAGAATCTGATTTTGTACAATGTTCTCCCGAGCAGCCCGAATAGCCACTTGTCTGTATTGATTTACCAGTTCCCAATAATCGTGCGGTTTCAATAATTGAATATTTGATGGTTGTATTTCAAACGGAGAAATCAATCGTCGACCAAAGGCTGATTCATACGGAATGAATTTTGTTGTTGCGTGTACACCCGAATTATAAGCCCATATAATCGCTGGTAAGTAAATATCCCAATCTGTCAAATACTCATTGCAATATTTCTTCAATTGGTCACAAAACATTGAATTGAACCTTTCCACCTGACCATTGGACATCGGATGGTATGGAATTGAGAAGATCTGTTTACAATTCGTCAGTTTCGTAATCGATGCCAACAACTCGTTTCTGAAGTGCGTTCCTTGATTAGATTGTACATACTGAACAGCTCCATGTTGTAATATAATATCTTCAAACAACATTGTTGCAGCATCTTTCGCTGTTTCTGTTGGAAAGGCTCTCGCAAAAACATACTTCGACAAACGATCGGTGATAACCAGGACATACTGGTTACCACCACTCGAGCGAACAGGAGCACGCCAAAAATCCATTTGTAATATTTGGAATACTCCTTCAGGTGGTTGTTCTTGTTGTAAAAATCCCGGTTTCTTTTGTCGTTGTACATTGAACTGGGCACATTCAGCACACGAACGTATGTAATTTCGAATTGTATCATACATCTTAGGCCAAAAATACTTATCTTTTACCTTCCGATACGTTCGAGTAATTCCAAAGTGTCCGCTCATTGGATGATCATGGTATGCTTTCAAGATTTCAGAGACCAATGACGCTGGGACCCATGGCAATTGTATCGTTGTTTTATCCGGTCGAACAACCAATTTGAACAAAACTCCCTGATTCATAGTTAAATTGTCGAATCCCTGCTGACTTTTTTCAATCTTCTGAATCCGATCCTTTATGACAGAATCCTTTATTTGTTCAGTGCGGATTCGATCCAGACTTATATCAAAAACCATTGATCCATCACTTTTCATTTTGCTTGAATCACGTGTGTCGTTCGAACTTTCGTCATCTTGTGACATTCCCAAATTCGAAGTTGATGATTCGTTATCATTCAACAATCGTTTGGCCATTGACCTCGTAATCGCATTGATTTGCATTGAATTGGTTTGTTCGATCGGTTGAGGATATAATCGAACCCGCGTCAAATGATCATCTTCATCTGCTTCTTCACAAGGAAATCTGGACAACAGATCAGCATCACAATTGCAGCGTCCTTTCTTGTATCGAATTTTTGTAATATCATATTCAGCTAATTCCAGTTGCCAACGTTCGATTCGAGAATTTTGAATTTTCTTCTTATTGAAGCTACACAACGGACAATGATCAGTTTCAATTTCAATTGGTCTACCCCAAACATATTCTCTCAACTTTTGAATGCACCATACCATTGCCAAACATTCTCGTTCAGTTGTTGAATATCTCTTCTGTGTCGGGGTAAACTTCTTCGACACATATTTAATCACTTTGACTCCCGCCGGTGTTAGTTGTCGCAATACTCCTCCCATTCCTTCACCAGACGCGTCGATTGATAACGTTAATGGTGAACTGTCATCAGGAAAGTGTAAAAATACCGGCGCTGTTGTCAATCGATTTTTCAATTCGTTAAAAGCCGTATCCATCTTCGCTGTCCACCCTTTCCATGTTACATTTTTCTGTGTATAAACAAATAATGGCGCCGCAATTTTCGAAAAGTTTTCGATGAAATCCCTGTAATAATTTGCTGCTTGAACAAATGAGTGCGCTTGTTTTGGTGTTGTTGGTGTTGGAATGGAGATGATGGCTTTGATGTTTTCTTCAAGTGGAGCAACTCCATTAGCATCCACTGTATGTCCCAAGTAATCAATAGAAGATTTAGCAAAAGAACACTTGTGAGGATTCACTTGTAATTTCGCGGTAGCCAAAACCAACAGTATTTCATTTAGATGATGCACATGCTCTTCAAATGATTGTGAAAAAATCAAGACGTCATCGATGTACACTAAACAATACTCCCATCTGGTTTTGACTAGTAATTCATACATAATTCTCTGAAAATTTGAAGGACTATTTTTAAGGCCTTGCGGCATCACGTTGAACCGAAACAACCCGTTATAAGCAGTAAATGTGGTTCGGTCTTTGTCATCGGGATGAATTCGAATTTGGTGGTAACCCGAGCGCAGGTCCATTTTTGTAAATAATCGATTGCCATTCAATCGATTTAACGTGTCGTCAATGCGAGGTAGAGGATAACAATCACGTTCTGTTACATTATTGAGTTGTCGATAATCTACCACGAATCTATAGGTTCCATCCCTTTTCTTCACCAACAGCACCGGTGATGACCAACTCGCGTGAGATTTCTCGATTTGTCCGCTATCCAACATTTCTTCAATGGTTTTCGACAGATGCTGTTGTTTAATCAAGTCTGTTCGATAGACTCGCGACTGAATTGGAGGATTTTGTCCAGTATTGATCATTGGTGGAGCTGATATCGTTGAGACTGTTGGCTTAGATATATCAAATACTTTCCAATATTTGTTCAGCAAATTTCGAATTGCCTTTCGTTCCTCCAAATTATCAATATGGTCTAGCTCAAATTGATATCCCTGAATCATTTTTTCTTCGGTTTGTTCATCCGATTCCAATTCACTTTGTGAATCTCGATCAATTGAGTTCATTGAATAACAGCTAATATTCTCTGTCTGAGTTGTCACTTGTCCAATCTTGGTATTACCAGACAGCTCACAGACATTATTCGTTGGATTGGTTATTGTCACATATGTTTCGTAGTTATCAATTGACAACAAAGCATTCGGAATTGCTATTAAATGTTGATGTTGAACATGTCGATTCGGTTGGAAAATAACATTCGATGATGATGAAATCGAAGATTTCAATTTGACAATCATTGTATGTTGTGGTTTGATCGTAATAGCGTTTGCCAGCTTGACATCACACGTATGGTCACTGGTATTTGCTTCAATCGGAATAGACGAGGATAACTTTCCTAAATGCACAACAATCTGTTTTTTCGAATGACAAATATCAACCGAGTACGCTTGAATCCAATCTTGCCCCAATATACACGGTGATGAAAGAGATTCTGATACCATTGCCATTACACTCGTCGTAATATTGCCAACCCTAATAAATATTTGTACTTTGCCGTTGATATACACCGATGTATTTCCATCTGCCAAAGCTACTCGTTCTCGCATTGGAATTATTGTAGAATGTTTGGTTTTTCGTAATGTTGATGAACAAATAAAAGTATTACTAGCTCCCGTGTCCACTAAACATTGCGTTGTTACATTATTAACAGGAACAGTAATGAAGGATAATGGTGATGGATTAATTGTTGACACAGAGGGACCACCATCTAGGACCTCTGTTCCTCGTTTTTTTGATTTGTTTGTCCAGTTTCAGCGGTACGATTATTCATCTGAGGACAATTTCGAGAAATATGATCAAATTCATGACATTTGTAACACTGTATCCGCCCATTAGGCCGTTGAAAATTGGCGTAAGTTTGGTTCTTGTCCGTTGTTGTTTGTTGTTGTCCATAGCTATTCTGTCGTTGGTCGTTTCCATTCGAATTGTACCAAGCGGACTCATCTGTAGATTGTTCATGATTCCAACCAATTGGTATTTTCATTTGCATTTGTCGATGTTCAATCAGTTTGCTGACATTCTCAATTTGTTGGGCTTTGACTAAAAATTCGACTGGTGTTGCGTACGTATCTTTCACTGCTTCTTGATACAACGAAAATTGCAATCCATTCGTCAATTTGTGAATCTTTTGTTTATCCGACATATTTGGATCGTATCTGTTACACAAATCAATTATGTCGTAGTAATATTTAATAACCGGCTCGTTATATTGTTGTTTGCGTTGATCCAATTGCCGCCCAATCAGGTATTCGTTGGTTTTGCCAAATTGTTCGACAATTGCTTGTTTAAACAAATCCCAATTCCAGTCATTCTGTTGATTCTCCTTCCACCACTTATATGCGTAATCCTTCAAAAAAGCGGGCGCATATTGAAAATATAATTGTTCTTGATTCCCCGGGAGTCGTGCCACGTGGAAGTAATGCACAATACTCTCGATCCACTTGTATACATCTTCGTCCGAATTACCATGAAAAGGCTTGACGAAATCTTTCATTTGCTGCAATGGATCTGTATTAACAATCACTTGCATTTTCGCCATATCTGGAGTAGCTGTGAATAGTTCATTTCGATTTCGCTGAATTTGTAATTTATCCATTTCTTCCCGTAATTTTGCCAGTTCCTGTAACACTAATTCCATTTGCTGTGCTGTCACCGGAATTGGCACCGACTCAATACCATCCACTGTTGCATTGCCTTCACTATTGCTTTTCATTCTGCGTGTTGGCGGTAATTTCTTTGCTAGTTCGAAAACCGTCTGCGAAATGTTCGTCGTACGCCGTGTTGAGTAATTGGAAGAAATATGCATACACTTCCCACGAAAAAATTTTGAAACAGATACCGCTGATCGCCGCGGTTTTTTCGTAATGGCTGCGGTTATATCGTTGAAGGTCGCGGTGTCGAAAAGTAACCGCGGTTAACAGCGGTGTGGCGCACCGCAACATAAATATATCGCGGTATGTTAAAAAAAAACCGCAATGTGATCACCGTTCTAGACCGCGTTTTCAAAAATGCGCGATGAAATGTAGGTTACCAGTGGTATTTGAGAGGCGCCATCTTCCACAAGTTTATATTCTGCGAGCTTCTCATTGTGAACCGCGATCTTCAAATTTTCCCTAAGGATATCGGTGTCCAGAATACTTTAGTTCTTGTTTTTAGTTAGACTTTTCATCTAGTTTTTCGTTATGGAAATGTATCACAACAACTTTAATACGTGAAATCACGGTACGATAAAAAAGAATCCAAACTCAAATCGATTCATCTCTCTTTTAGTTGATAAATGGCATGATTTATGAGAAAAAGCTATCGAGAGAATGTAAACACGCTTTTCTTTTATCAAACTATAATAAGTTCAGCATGTTCTCTATTATTATCTGTCTTGCATTTTAACTTGAAAAGATTCAAACAAGAACTACTTTTGTACAAATAGCTTCACCTATTTAGAAACTATTCATCGTTAGAGTTATATAAAGACTTAATAAACATCAATTTGATCTTAAATATGTATTTCGTTAAACAGTTAGTTCTAAAATAGTTTAAAATATTGATCAGATTTCAATGAAAGACAGCTATTTATCATAATCTGATGATATAGTTGAAAATCAGACGTAGACCTTGAACAAATTTTTTTTTTATGCATACACTTGAGATACGTGTTCTAAATGCTATTTATGTGTGATTTTCTCGAAATATAGATTTACAGATATAATCAGTTATGATCTCTCAACTCGTTAGGCCATTTAACAACTTGCAGTATCACGATCAATCAACTACACGATTCGAATAAATGAGTATTTTCCCTAATTGTAACATTCATCAAGGTAGATTATTTATTTTAACATCACTAACCATCAATATAGGCGATAAATAGAAATCTTCCAGCTAGATAGTGCTTAGTTTATCGTCGATGTGAGTATCTCAAGAAGTTTGAAAATTTGTGAAGCTAGCAGACGTCTCTAGTATTCGTGAGACTCATATAAATCCATCAGTAAATTAAACATATCGATCGAAATCAGAATTTCTCGATGCAAATAAGATAGACGATCTCATTCAATTTGAGTATGAATATCACCAGATGGTTCAATGGAATTAGTGGACTACAATCATAAGGTAAGCCGTTCGAATCTAATTAAAGAAATAAAAATCAAAAAATAGGAAGTGGCATCTAATGAGCTGACTGAGGTGTGAAATGACCGTGTGGAAATAATAGATGACAATGAGATAGATGGCAGAGATGGTATACCACCATGATGGTGAATTACGTTTTTTTCGAAAAACCATTAATAACCGCGTTATTCTCAGACCGCGGTTTCGGCCGGTGTGAGAAAACCTAATAAAAGGTCTGACTTTCGCGGTTCATTAAACCGCTGATACCAACGCCTTCTCGCACCGTGATATACCGCGGTTTTGATCGAAAAATTTTTTCGTGGGAAGTTGTTGTAAGTTCTTCCAAAATCAGGATGATCCTGTGGAAGTGAACATTGCTGCATTTGAAGTACTTTAGTATAATATTCTTTCGCCTTTATGTAATCGCCAAGATGAAAAAAAGCCAAACCCACGTTATTATACGTTGTTGCAATTTCAGGATGATTCGGAGGCAGACATTTTTCTCGAATTTTCAGCGACTTTTCGTAACTTTGAAGTGCTTCTGAATAACGATGCTGCATTGAATAGACGAGTCCAATATTATTGTATAGCACACCAATTGCAGTCAGATGTAGCTCATCATCATCACTTAATTCATAATTCTTTAATGCTTTATTATAGTGCAAGAGAGCTTCTTCAAAACTGCCCAATTCACGATGACTTTCACCAAGATTATTATAGATTGATGCCAGTAATGGATCTGTTTCTGGTAAATGTTGTAAGAGGATATCAACCGATTTTCGAAAATATTCATCTGCTTTGATCCTCTTGTTTATGTGAGTGTAAATTAATCCGAGGTTACTATAGATTTGGGCGACATTGCGAAAATCGCTAATGAAATGAGGATGTTCGAGCATTTCAAAATAGTATCGCTCGGCTTTCGTCGTGTCACCCATTCTCATCATTAGTTTAGCCAGACTTGCTAGGGGATATGACGGATAGACGATATCGTCTCTCATATGTTCAGTCAACGTTCGCAGTTCATCATCTTCGTCGCCAGTGAGTTTGAGTCTAACATTCCATGTTTTCAATCTATCGTCTCGATCTACCGATAATATCCGGAATACCGCTCCCATCGTAAACAGAATTTCACCTTCAACATTCCCAAATGCGCTGATCTGTGAGATGTCAGTATATGGAAATTTATTGACACATTGATCGATTTCGATTTCAAACAGCACGCTTTGACATTCTTCGGCTTTGCTTCCATCGCCGGCATAGACGACCGCTAAGTTCTTATGCGGTGTCGTGGAAAGAAAAGTACTTACCGAAAAGAAGCCACCTGCATTATGTCGAATTTTCTGATCAAACTCTTTATTGTTCATAAGTTGTCCCCGATAAACAGCACTTGGTAATGTTGAACTTGATGTTTCGCTATTTGACATTAGTTGATTGAAATGTCGATCTTCCAGTTGCGAATGAAGATCTTTAATAAAATATCTTAGCGAATAAAGGACATCAACGTTCAGTTCCCTTAACGCTTGATTCAATAGACGATACAGAAATGTATCTCGTGTGTACCAAAAGATCGCGTTTTGCGCGTCATAGTATTGTTCGAATTCGTCAACAGTATTGAGATCGGGTTCATTGCCAGCACATTGTTGTCTACAAAATGTCGTCATTTCTTCTTCTGTTGAGTCGAGTTTAATGAGAATCTCTCGTAGAAATGAAGAATACATAAAGTCTGCTTCTTGACGAGTGCTGTTATTGCTCACTATTGGCATTGGGTATTGAATTTCCGACATCGTGATTTCAGGAAAGAAATTTATCGAAAAATCTTTACGATAAGGTCCTTCTTTGTACTGGTTTTTTAAATAGGGCAACTGTCCTAACTGATTACATAGCTCAGACACGTCTGTAAAATGACCGCATAGTTTTGGCATATAAGAAGAGGAATTAACGATGCCACTTTCATCCTTTGTGATTGATAACACATAAACTGAAGCAATTTGTCGAAGCTCTTGGCACTGTGTCAGTATTCTCTTGGATAAATTTGCTGGATTATCGCAAGAAATTACAAGAACAGCTTGCTTGTCATCGTCATTCATACGAATTATGTAGTTGAAGCACAAATCTGCATCTCGAAATGTGACAATATACGGATCGACTTTACATAGTGAAATATGCACAGCTTGAACCATGTGATTTCTTTTAACAATGGTTGGTTTATTGACATCATAGACTTGATCTAACCAAATCGTAATGTTCGTCGCGAGTGCCATCGTAGATTTTGTATGGCAACAGTTTTGGCGTTGTCACGTTTTAAAATAATTTCATGTGACGGACGAACAAACAGACTTGGCTTTTTCCAAATAAAACAATTCATGCATTAATGTGACAAAATAGGATTGAGAGAATGGTAGAAGAACAGAAAAAATTTTATTGACGTAGTCATAAAAGTGAGACATGTTATGCGAATTTGTAAAAAACAAATCTATTAGTATTGAAATCAATCGTATTGTTTATTTTATTGAACAGTAGAAAACAATTTCACTGTATGTGTAATTTTTCTCACAGTTAAGCAAATATTTCACAGAAGCAATGGATGAAGTCAATTTGTTTGAGATGTCTGATTACATTTGGTAGCTGCTTGACTAATTTCATATGGTGCTTTACCCAAAACTGATATAGATTGTTTATAAAGTTGGTGCTTATCGAGTAATACAAACATTGTTCGTACAATCACGAAAATTATCGTTGAACATAGTTCGAGTTGTATCACATGTTGAATAACGAGCATCGCTTTCATATAAGTGCCATTTTGTACATACAAAAACGTATTGTCGCGACAGAACAAGAACTAACATAGTACGTAGAGGCATTTGAATGCATTGTCTTCTCGATATTTCTGTTTGTTCAATGAAAATTGATCTGAATAACTGTCGGAATGAGTTTAGACAAACGACACAGTTAATATTACGCTTAAGTATAACTCCAAAAGATTAGAATAATTATTTACAGATCTCGATCATTACGTGATCGTGCTTGTTTTGTTTATTTATTTTTGCGATCTGTTGTTGATTTTACGTTGATCAGCGGGTAAATTGAATCAAAACTTTTTCTTTTGTCTTAGCCTTTCGCCAACGGGCAAATCGTGTTTCTTTAGCTAAAAACTTGCGATCATTTCTCGTGTTATAAATTAATCTTGTATGACGGAACAGCTAATGGAAAATGTCAAGGTCAACCGGATTTCTATGTCTATTTCGACAATCTGTTCGTTCCAAATGTTACATGTTTGTTTCACAGTGATTGTTTTAAATATGCTTAATGTTTTCAGTAAACGAAGTATTCACCATGTTGTTCAACGATGAACGATAGAGGAGTTTCTACAGAAAATAGACGTTCGAATGATAACTATGCTTCTCGTTGTTATATTTTCTGCGATGATTTCGTTTTTTCCCAGTTAGAATTTAATTTATGAAGATATTACCAGAAATGGTTCAAATCCACAATACAAGTTATCTGAAAGAATACTATTGATGAAATTATTAGTTCCTTGCCTTTATACATTATTACTATTTCGTTCTATGTTTCAGTTATTTCCTAAACTTGTTTCCGTAATCGAATTGTTAGAATTCATGATTGAAATTAATATAGATTTGTTCTACACTTTATAATTTATATATTCCAATTTCGATTGCCGGTATTCATACATCTTTTCATTATGATATTAGGGATTCACTGGAATCTTTTCACGGAATTCGCATGTCATTCCTATATTAAAGAAATAAATATTATATTCACCAATTCTCATCAGATATTACATCAACAAATAGGAATCTTTTGAAAAGTGATGAAACATTTTTACATTCATCATCGCTTTATCTTTCAGCAGGTACACTACTTATCCTAATAGGCAATTATTCATTTTATTGCCATATATACTCCTGAAGAAATGGACGTCACTTGATATCTTTCGCCATTTTGTTATCGAAAATTATTTTATTAACCTTTGTGTTTAAAAATCCCAATAGTCCATCTTAATCGTGTTTCTTTCACTTGTAAAGATTCGATTGGATAGATCGTTTGAGAAGAATGTTTTTGTCGTTGATCAATAATTTGAACGATCCAATGTTTTCCAAAAGATTCATTTAGCCAATTTTGCATATCTTTGATAAGATTTCCGATACTAGATGGTCCATGAGTATCAATCAAAACGCTCATGGTATTCAAAATATTGATCTTCATTGAATCTGTGATTCCACGAGATTGTTGTTCAACTTCCCATCGTGTTGATCTATCTTCGGTGTGGGAAGATCTTTTATTTGGAAAGGTAAAACTTGTGTTTTGATGATTTTCTGTTGGAAGAATAATCAGATTGTCATCAATTGCCAATGGATTGATATTCAGATGGAAATATGGGAGTTCTTTGATACTCTGTTCGAAGAATTGAATCGATTGTTTCATGGAGTCGATTTGTTGTTTTGTTGCGTCTTGTTGTTGAACTAATTCATTGAAATTCAACTTCATCTGATCAAATTCTTTTTTCTGCTTGTTCCTTTTGATTTCAATGATTTGTTGACATTGTTGAAGGTTTTTTTCATAGAATTGATCGACAGCTCGATGAGCATTTTCACGCCATTGCTCCAAATCTTTCAGAAAAGCGAATTCCGATCCATCGTCATGATTAAATTGATCTGAAAGTGAATTGATTTGATCCATTAACAATGGAATTTGTGCATTGATTAAAGTGTCATGTTCATTGAGATGGTCACGACATAAATATTGATCACAACATAAACACAACGCTCGACATGGTCGTTTACAATCATTGATTGCACAATGTTGGGTTGAAGAAGCCATTTCTTTCTCTATAGATTATCTAAAATGAAAAGAAAAAAGGGCTCTATTTCAAATTGAACCTACAGTTGATGCATTAGTTTCTCTGTTGTACTATGTGAAAACATTTCAGATATGTTGATTTTATTTATAAGAAAGAAATGAAACAACCGAATGAAATTTCTTCTCTTGTCTTTTATGGTGTGAATATGTTATTTTGAACTGAATTGGTAAAATTCATTCCTGAAGTAAAATTATTTTCGCCCTTTTACACATTTCATAAATCATTGAATTGACCTTACCTTCTTTTCTTATGGAATTTGTTGGAAAACTGCAATATCCCATTTCAAGTCAGTTTCTCTAACGAGGAGATACTTATTGTCGTAAGGATTGACACTGTACGAATAGGTACTTGTGTCGGCAATTATTACAGCCCATACTTTTCCATAAGTTGTAATGAGCCAGCTTTGTAATTCGGTGCAAATTTTAGTCTTATTTGATGATCCATGTATATCAATCGTAGTTCGCAGCGTACTTAAAATATTTATTTTCATAGTGTCTGTGATTCCTGACTGTTGCTGAAGAATTTCCCACCTTCCCATTCTAATTGATCTGAAGATAATCTATCTGAAAGGATGAAGTTTATAAGTCCGTATAGATACTGCTGTATACGCCCAGCTCGGCTTTTGATATTGAATACACACACACAGGAATCGCTAGCTATGCATATAAAATGTTACTTGGAAAAAAATAAAGTAATGTTGTGAAAGAAAATGTCGATGAAGCATTGCAAATTTGCAATAGAACGAAAACAAGATAATATGTATCGTGAATTTAAATGTATGAAAGAAAAGAAACATCGACGACAAGCAGCGATAACTACAACTTTTCTACACTTGTTATAAGCGCTTTTAATGTAACGAGAAAATATTCTTTTTCGAAAGAAAAATGCTTGAGATAACAATTATCATCAACAACTGGATTTCTCCTACGAACACGTCATTTTTATGTAGTCAGCACATCACATAAAGCAGTCTTCGAAGAAGAAAGCAACATTTTTAGTATCTTTTTCAAAGTCAACTGGTTGATCTGATCACTATTTTCATACAGTCTGCTTATTCAATTCAGACGCATGTGATTCTACTTCACACTTTTAATGATGAATACGTCATCGGCGAGTTCTTGTTGATTTTAAATATTTCCTACATAAACTCGAAAATATAAAAGCATCAGTGTTGACAAAGTAAACGAAATAAGATAAGTAACAAGAGGTAAAGATAAACATGCAGATGATATGAAATGAAAAGATGTGATATTTTCTTTCTACGTATGATCTCCAAAAGGTTCATGAACAGATGTATCCATAATGAGCAACGATAAAAGCAAATTTCACCGAGTTTCATTCGTCATGCAGGAGGACGTTCATCCCTCAAATGATACTCTAATTTATGGATATAATTACCGCTCGAACGAAGTCGATGACGAAATAAGTAATTTATGTGGTCTATTTGCCTGACACAAGCATTATGGAAGAATTCCAGATAAAGCTTTTTTTTTGCGAAAATGATCAAGAGAAAAGCTGTTTCATGGAAAATTAGTGTATATAGTTACGCGAGTCTTCGAAAGAAAGTAGAAATTCACTCATACTCTAAAAACACTTTATGAAAATTAAAAGAAGAGCTATAAGAAACCATTTATCAGTAGTTGCTGCATTCAGTTTCATTTCGGATGATATAGTTTTCATTCACAAATCAATTAGAACCATAAACTAGTTAAGAATCGTTGCAATATTATTAATCGCGGCTTTACCACGAACAGTTGCACAAGATTTCAAATCATTCACAATGTGCTACAACAAATGCAGTGCAAGGGCGCTGCCTTTCATCAAAATGGTACTTTGACAATTAGCTTGGAATCTATCGCTATGATGGTTATTACTGGAACACGAATACCATCTGGTAAGGATTAGAATGAGATTACATCGTGTAATTTTGAAAATTGTGCAAACTTCAATTAATGACATATAGGAATCAAGAGTTTTTTTAGATGGAATAGAGCGTATTTTAGAAGCCTTCTTGCAAGTTGACTGTACACTGATGAAACTAGAAACAGTAGTGATGAGAATTCCAAAGGAGGGAATCTTCAATGTCATTGCCACATTGAAAATTCACTCTATTTTCCCATCTCTCTATTTTCTTTAGTATGGATAATAATAGCAAGTATGAATACCCCTCGAAATGAACACACAGCAACGTTATTATTGAATGGAAAAGTATTATTCGCTGGCGGTAGTAGTTCTAAAACAAATTCGGAATTGTATGATCCAGCAACAAGTAGTAGGACAACGGCAGCAAACATGAATGTTGCACGAGGTTCCCCTGCGGGAGCAACATTATCGACTGGACACGTATTGATTGGCAATGACATAACAAAATGTAGATGTTTTATATCGCTCTTATCATTCTTGAAATTCCTCTCTCTAAGAAATCAAGCCAAATTAAAAATAAATATTTGATTGTAATTCGTCCACACAGAATAGTCACTCATTTTAATAAAAAATCTCCTTTTCCAGAGCATCCTTGATCACCAAACAAACAGTCTATTCTACGCTCACACCCACACCCTCACCCTCAAACATGCGACTATTGAAATTTCTAAGAGGGATTTTGATACTGTGGTAAAATGTTGGTTGGTATATCGAAATTGACGACTGAACCTTTGTCCAATACAAGAATTCGATCACTCTTCGCAACGGTATCAAGCCGATGAGCAATGGTCAGAACAGTTCGATCGCGAAACTTCTCCGCCATTGTTGTTTGAATAATCGAATCGATCTGCTGATCAACATTCGATGTAGCTTCATCGATCAATAAGATTTTACTCTGTTTCAAGATTGCTCGAGCAATACAAATCAATTGAGCTTGACCCGCACTTATATTTCCACCTGATTCCGTAGTCAGCATTTCAAGTCCCATCGGATGATCGCTGACGAATTGTTTCAATTGCACATCATCCAATGCTATCCAGCATTGTTCATCTGAATAGCGATTAAATGGATCAAGATTGTATCGGAGAGTGCCACTGAAAAGAATCGGATGCTGAGGAATAATGCTAAGATGAGATCGAAGTTTCTGTAGGGTAATGCGACTAATATCGATATTGTCGATGAGTATCGTACCTTGGATATGTGAACGATGAATAAAACGGAAGATACCTTTGAAAAGAGATGACTTTCCTGCACCAGTTCGACCTATAATACCGACTTTTTCAGCAGATTTAATTTTAATATTAATGTTCGTCAGGACAGGATCGAGATCTTTTCGATGAGATAAGGAATAGTTACGAAAATCAATTTCGCCATGTGTTGGCCAATCCGGCTCTATATTAACCAAACTTTGATGCCCACCTTGATCCTCTTCAGGCGGGACTTGTGAATACTGATAAATCCGTTCGACACTTGCCATTAATAGATCACATTCGAGCAGTTGCTGAATGGCTAATTGAAATGATTTCGGCATGGAAATTGCATACGATAGTACAAATATAATGACAGATGGATCGATCCTATCGTGAAAAGCCACGAGGAGAATTGCAGTAGCAAATATGCTGATGAGCGGTAAAAGATTAAGTCGCATACCAAACCATCGTGTAGCACCTCTCGTGTTAATCGAAACACGAGCTTTCCGATCGAGTCGATCGATAAAAGAACTAATGAAATGTTCTTCGATTTTGAATGCGCGTAGGCTGACCGAACCATAAAGTGATGTAGAAAGAAGATCATACACCGGACTCGAAGTTGTGCTTTCCAATTGTTTCAATTGATTTTTCGATCGTAGATAAAAATGACACAAGAAAATAAAGAACGGAATCAATGCGACAATGACCAGCAAAACGTACGGTCTAACAAGACAAATGACAACGACTGATCCAACGAACATCGATGCACTTTTAGTAGCAAATAATAAAACGGGTGGTAATGTTTCGTCAACGACTTTCTGGTCTGAACTTGCTCGACAAAGGATTCGACCACTTGCGTTACTTTCAAAGAATTGAATCGTTGTGTTCAATAGTCCTTTCAACATAGAGTTGTGTAAGTTGTTTGCACCGTGTAGAAAAATGAAGAAAAAGAGAATAGTACGGAGTACGTCTGATCCTATAGTACTAACAACCAAACCAAAATAAGTATGAGCAAATGCGGGATGGGACTGCTGTTCAGTAGGAGATTGCTTTGACCAAACTCGAAGCCAATAGTTTGAACCATCGTAGAAAATTTCGCAGATGATAGTCAAAAAGATTAGGGAACTCAATCCACACATGCCTAATGGTGATGAAATGAGTAAGTGGAACCATAAACTCCAATTTGTTTGACCATGAACAGATGCTTCTTTTGTGATGATTGGTTGCGGATCAACCATTGATGTACTTTCACTAATAAGATTTTCTAGTTCTGACATTTCACATTTTGTTGTTCGATTTTGTGCACGAAGAAATTCATTTGAATGGACTTGTTCATCAATGTGACCTTGCGTGAGAAATATGATTTGATTTGCATTAGCAAGGAATTGTGTTTGATGTGTAACTAACAGACAAGTCTTGTTTTTCAGAAGTCCTGTTGAGCTAAAACATCTTTCATAGATTTGTCTAGCAACTTCACCATCTACTGACGCTAACGGATCGTCAACAAGATAAACATCAGCCTTTCTATACAATGCTCGAGCCAAAGATACGCGTGCTTTCTGACCGCCGCTTAGATTTATACCTCTTTCTCCGATCATTGTTAAATCACCGGCTACTCCAATTGAATTCAAATCAACATCGAGACAGCAAGCGTGAAGAATGTTGCGATAGCATTGTGGTTTAAATGGTTGATCGAGGATGATGTTATTTCGAATCGTGTCTGCAAATATCCATGGCGATTGAGATGCGTATGAAAATGAACTTCCATGTGTTATCAGTTGACCATCAGTTAGAGTCATTTCGCCTAGAATAGCAGCCAGAAGTGATGATTTACCAGCGCCAACTGCTCCAACAATGCCAATGAAACTACCGGATTTTATATTGATATTCAATGACACAAGACAAGGCTGCGTATCGGTCCAAACGAAAGACGTATTGAGCATGGAAATACATCCTTTCTGAGAATCGTCATGCGAGGGTATCGAATAGATCTGATTTGGGCTTGTCGAACGCATGAATTCATCGATTCTTCTTGAAGCTCCTAGAATTCCTGTCAATCTTTCCGTTAAAACCGGCATAGCAAACATAAATTGACCCCGTAAAAGACCGAAAAGTGCTAACACAGTGAAACAGTCGACCGCATTCAGTGGATAACCCAACAACCAATACACACTAAACGTCGTAAGCCCGAGAAGTGGGACCAAAATAAACATAAAAATAGAATTCAAAGCTGTCAGAATATGAATGCGTCGTAGAACACTCAGCTCCTTTTTACGGATTTGACCTATTCGATCTTCCATCGACTTTTCCCAATTATATACTTTAATCGTATAACACCCGTGAATCATTTCATAAAATGCACGAACACGTTGATTATTATAAAAAGTCTTCAGATCGTCATACTGACTCACATAGCGACCAATCAATAACGAACAGATGATACTCAAAACGAATACGATGAAAGTTGCACATGCTGGTATCGATCCGATAATCCAACAAAGTAAAATAAATACGATTATAGTTTCGATTATTCCTCCAAATACAGCATGGATATGCGAGAACATTTCTTCGACTTTTGCAGTGTCATTTACAATGAGATTGACCATTTGTCCCATGTTGATTTTCTGCCACATTACCAAGGTGATGGATAATGAACGTCGATAGATGATCAACATCAGTGTATTACGGATTCGTAAAGCCATTCGATACGAAGAAAAATATATTTGATGATCGAGAACATACTGGGCAGTAAGAAATAAACACAATAATATCAGATAAAAATTTGTTGTTACAAGTGCCGGTTGTTTATTCGTCAGGCTCAGAACTACCTGACGAAGTAATAACGGTTGAACAATACGAGAAAAGATGTATGGGACAGAGCACACAGCTGTTGAAATGTATTCTCTCCAAAATTCACGAATGATTATTCGACATGTAGAAGCTGAAGTCCAGTCGTAAGATTCTAATCGATGTAGTAAAAACGATGATTTATCTCGGTTTGGTAAAGGATCAAGGTCATCATCAGTTAAGACTTGTTTGTACCCAGTGCGTAATGTAGGAGACATCCAACACCAAAATAAGAGATTTAACCATCGAGTCCATGACGATTCTACCCATTCAAGATTAGATGAACGATTCTTTGAATCGCTATGACTGAGTAATCTTTCACGCCCATCATCAAATCGTTTGGTCATTGTGGGGTTTCTTTTTATGAAAAGTGTGTCGTGTAATGGTGTAATAACGACATTAAAAGGGTAAACATATACAGGAATACAGTAATCGACGAGGATAGGATACGCGTGGTTAATCTGATGAGAACGGTATTCAGGTGCAGCACGTTGGCTATATTCGTTTATAAAGCATTCGAATATACCGTAGTGACAGTTTTAACCGAAATATATATCAATATATTAAGGGATATTTATGGTTGGTTCTTTCATTGAAAACTTTGCTTTTTATTGTCTTTATGCAAACTCTAAATAAAAAGAGACATAAATTCAGGTGCTATTAATACATAAGTTCAAGTTCAGAGTATCTGACCGCCACTTGTGTGCGCTTTCTCTTACTGATAAGAAAGGTTTTCTTTCGATTAATGTGAGTAGTATTTACCTACAGATTGCGCTTCTATGACTGAAACTGTAGATATTCGTCTTTTCACTGTTTGGTTTCATTTGTGTGTGTCCTTGATTTAGATTCGCAAAGCTGAACAGTTAAAACAAAATCATGTCGATAGACTTATATGTTACATATTCTCTGTGAAAACTTTCAACGTGTCATCAACAGAAGTACGTATTCGAAAGCAAACTATCTTATAATGTTTCATCCCAAAACAATTACAATTGATAAAGTAGATGTCGTTGATGGATAGAATTATATTCAATATCATTTCTCATTGGTTTTTGTTTCTTTTTCTTCGATATTTGTGTTTTGTTTTTGTTCATTATAAACAAACTAATTTTTTTTACGACAATGACCATTCTTGGAATGAGATTCTCTGATTTTGTTTATTACTGGATGTTTTCATCAGGCTGAGTCATCGTCGCGAAAGAGAAAGAAAAAGGTAGGCTCTGACGATAAAGGTTGAAGAGTTTAAAGAGATGAAACTTTGTTTATTTTAGATCTTGAATGAAGAACGAAGAGAACAAAAGCCTTCCATCATCTCAATTGGGTGTTCCCGATGATGTTGAAGCTGAATTCCAGAAAGATCCTGTTGATCGTGATTTCAAAAACATTCTCGTTGTTTTAATAATGATCATTTGTAGTTTATTAACATCCTATTTCTCAAATAATCCTTATGGAAATTATTTACCACTCATTTTAATTTCGACCTTCGAATGGTATCGATCATATCCGCGACAAAAACGTTCGTATTATGGTTTATTTCGTTTATTATTATACGTTGTAATCATTAGTTTATGGAACGTGTTGGTTTTGAAAATTTTCCTGGAAATCATTTCATATTCCATTGGTTACCATCGGATTCCATTCAAACGAATCGAACATTTGTTTCCCTACGCATTAATTATCACTTCATTTGCACGAACAAGTCAAGAAATGGATTTAAACGACAAACGAAGATACATAATTCATTTACTCTACGATGTTCCTGCGTTTCTGCTAGTTCTGATCTTCAAATTATTGAACAATCCATTGAATTGTTTGTACAGTCAAATCTCGACGCATTGTTATCTCGGTTGTTTACCTTTACCGTCGGATGTTGCAGAACTGAACAAAGTTGCCATAAAAAACGTGGTAAATATGTGTGCAGAATATCGCGGACCGAGGAAAACATATGAGAAATACGGAATTAAACAATTGTATTTGCCGACAATCGATACGGTTTCGCCTTCACGGCAAACGATCGAAAAGGCGATGAAATTTATGAAAGAAGCTCTAGATCGAAACGAAAATATCTTTGTTCATTGTAAAGCAGGAATGGGAAGAAGTGCGACGATCGTTTATTGTCATTTAATCGCCAATGAACACATGACACCCGAAGACGCAATGAAATTAATCAAAGAAAAACGACCAGAAGTCACCACAAGTCTTATTCATTATTACTCGGTGAAGCGTTTTCTCGCGTCACTGAATAACAAATCTCAATAGACTTTCGAATTCTTTTATAGGAAATTTATTCAAGCACAAGTCAATAAAAGTTTATTTATCTTTGTTTTCACGTAGAAGTTTTTCGTATCGAATAAGTTGGAGAAAGAAGCCGAAGTTCGGTGCAGCAACACGTCGACAATTGACTAAATGATCGTAAGCATCGGAAAGTGTTTCGAAATGATACGTGATGAGGTATGCGAGAATGATCGAAGATGAACGAGAAACTCCCATTTGACAATGAACTAAAACTTTCTCGTTTTTGTTTTGACATAAACGTAGAAATTTGTTCGTTTGCTCGAAATAATTTTCGATGTTAACGCCAAGTTCATCTCCGATGTTTATCCATAAGACATTGAAATTATCGCGAATTTCGTTATCTAATTCGATGTCTGAAACGTTTAAAATGTGTTTTATACCGATTTCTTGTAATAGATTGTAGTTTTTTGCATGTCCGAGATCGCCATGATAAAGAAACTTGTCAAGAATTGTCGATGGTAATCGAACATTTGGACGTTTTTTCGGAATTCCACGATCTTTNCAAATCTCAAGTTGCCGAGATGCAAAGACTAGACAAACTCTACATGGAAACACAAATGCGTTTTTCAGAATGGTTTTGACAAATTCGATAGAAAAGACAAATCACCGTTGCTTATCATTCATTTTGCACATCGGATTCATTTGTGTCACTTGTAACTGTGCAAATCTCTTGTATAATTAAACCTTTTCTCTATTAGTTCGTTGTTTTGTCATCGAAATCCAAATTTTGTTTTCAATTTTACCGTAACTATTATGTTTTGTTCCACGCTTCTTATTCGTACTTACATATACTTTATTCATATTTTGACTTCTTTAGAGATTTAGTTCGAACTATTACAAAAAAATATTTGCTTTCTTTCATGTAGTTGTTTATTATATCATCAACTTGTCTTTATTTCATTGGAAAACATTTTCTCTTATATGAAATGAAAAAACAATAGCAAATTGATTATTACATATGAATCTTTTCAGTCGAGGGTAATGCGAGTCCGTCTCGACGAGCGTTATTTATTGATTATCAAAGTATAAATGATATTCTGCCATCCTCGCCCGTTAGAATCGTATATACCTGAAACTAGTGAAATCACTCTCACCCTATCCACATTTTACGACGAATTCCACGAGATATCTGAACGATATAAATTCTGAGACTCGTTCATTCATTTTGCAGGCTTTACGTTATGATAGAGAAATGATTTATCCCTATTCAATTAAAAGTACAAAATATAGATTAATTTGTCACATATCTTCGTCATCGTCTCTCACATATGACTCATCATTACACTCTCGATGTTGTCTCATGATCGTTCAACATCTTCTTTTTTTCTGTTCTATCGGGCAAATCCTTTCTATTCATTGGCGTTCTTACATCCTTTTTTCTCTCTCATCACATTTCCAAGGTCGTAGCTTCGACAGCCTAAATCTTCATGGGCAATATCTATAGTAACGCAATTCCAATATTTTTTTCCTACAAAGTCAAATTTACTCGTGACATTCCTCAAGATTTTTACATAAGTGGCGATCGAGCTAAAGGAATCATCGAACTAACAACCAATGAAACAATTAATCTGTACATCAAATACGGTTTATTACACGTTGAACTCATTGGCGAAATACACTATTTTAAAACACACAAAAATGCAAAAGCTCCGAATGGCATCCAAATCTTCTTTTGGCGAAAAGTCAAATTAATTCAATTACCAAAAACAAATCAACAAAATAAATCTCTTCAAATCCATCGTTGGGCATTCGATGCCTTACTCGATTCCTTTCTTTCATCATCATTACCGCCGAAAGATGAATCGAAACAATTATTTAACACAAAAAAGTTCGTTTTTAGTCTTCACTCGTTCGCCAACGCCAATCCTTCTAAAAAAAACCCGCCTTTTCAATATTCAGTCAAAGGTAACTCAGTGAAATTACATTGAATTTTATTGAATAGTCAAGAACTTATCATACCGGGAGAGAGACTGAGCTTGCAAATTGAAATTCTCAATCCGTTACAACAAATGATCAAGTCAATTCGAATTAAATTTCAACAATATCGATTGATCAAGATACTTAAAATATTTATTTTCATAGTGTCTGTGATTCCTGACTGTTGTGTAGTAATTTCCCACTTTGACATTCTAATTGACTTGAAATCGATCTATCTAAAATAATGATTAAGTCATAAGGTCGTAAACAAGCGGCTGTCTACATCCGGCTTGGTTTTTAAGGTCGAATACTCATAGAAACCGTCAGCTATCTACATAAAATGTTACTTGGAAAAGATTAAGTAATGTTGTGAAAGAAAATGTCGATGAAGTATTGCAAATTTGCAATAGAACGAAAACAACGTGATGTGTATCGTGAATTTAAATGTATGAAAGAAAAGTACCATCGACGACAAGCAACGAAAAATATAACGTTTCTACACGTGTTATAAGCGCTTTTAATGCGCCGAGAAAATATTCCTTTTTAAAAGAAAAATACTTGAGATACCAGTTATCGTCAACAGCTGGATTTTTCCTACAAATACGTCATTTTTATGTAGTCAGCACACTACATAAAGCAATCTTCAAAGAAGAAAGCAAAATTTTGAGTACCCTTTCCAAAGTCAATAGTTTGATCTGATCACTATTTTCATAGAATCTGTTTAGTCAATGCAGGTGTATGTGGTTCTTCGGCAGGCTTTTAATGATGAATACGTCATCGGCGAGTTCTTATTGCTTTTAAATATAAGCATCGGTGTTGACAAAGTAAATGAAATAAGATAAGTAACAAGAGGCAAAGATAAACATGGAAATAATATAAAATGAGAAAATGTGATATTTTCTTTTTTACTTTAAGTTATCGACCTCAGATGAACATTCTCAAATAAGATAAACAAAACAGAAATAAGATGGGAAATCTTACATAGACCGACAATCTATTATAAATGCATTACGCACATCTTCGATTTGATGATCATTTTGTGCAAAAGGTTCATGAACAAATGTATCCATAACGAACAACGAGAAAAGCAAAGTCATTCAATGATTTACTCTTACTAAAATTATTTCTTTTGAGCACACGAACAGCTCATTCTGTGTCGACACATCTATTGAACCAATTAGCCGAATAAAAGCATATTTCATCGAGTTTCATTCGCCATGGGGAAGGACGTTCATCTCTCAGATGATACTCTGTTATGGATATAATTACCGTTCGAACCTAGTCAATAACGAAATAGGTAATTTATGTCGCCTATTTGCGTGACACAAACGTTACGGAAGAATTTTAGAAACAGTTTTTCCGAAAATAATGAAGAGGAAAGTTGTTTCGTGGAAAATTAGTGTATAGTTACGTGAGCCTTCGAAAGTGAATAGAAATTCACTCATATTGTAAAAAACACTTTATGAAAATTAAAAGGAGAAATATAAGAAACCATTTATCAATAGGTGCTGCTTTCAGTTTCATTTCGGACGATATGATTCTCATTCGCAAATCAATTAGAACCATGAACTGGTTAAGAATCGTTGCAATATTTTCAAGTGCGATTTTACCACGAACAGTTGCACAAGATTACAAATCATTCACAATGTCCATGTGAATGGATGGCAGTTTCAATCTGCTACAACAACGTGTTTATCTTACAGTACTAATTTGGTACCAAACATTCGTCAGAGTCAACGTATGTGTTTACAACAAATGCAGTGCAAGACTGCTGCCTTTCATTGAAATGGTACTTTGACAATTAGCTTGGAAACTATCGCTATGATGGTTATTACTGGAACACGAATACCATCTGGTAAAGATCAGAATGAGATTACATTGTGGAATATTGAAAATTGTGCAAACCCGAATTAATGTCATATAGAAATCAAGAGTTTTTTAGATGGAATAGAACGTATTTTAGAATCCTTCTTACCATAGTTGACTGTACGCTGATGAAACTAGAGACAGTAATGATGAGAATTCCAAAGGAGGAAATCTTTAATGTCATTGCCACATTGAAAATTCATTATCTTTTCTCATCTCTCTATTTTCTGTACTATGGATAATAATAGCAAGTATGAATACCCCTCGAAATGAACACACAGCAACGTTATTATTGAATGGAAAAGTATTAGTTACTGGTGAAGATAATAATAGTCCTGTAGTAACTGCTCAATTACACGATCCGTTGACTAATAACTGGACGCTGACAGCAAGTATGAGTGTTCCACGAAATTATCATATAACATCGGTGCTATCCAATGGAAAAGTATTAATAGCTGGCAGAAATAGTTCTAATACAAGTTCGGAATTGTATGATTCAGAAACAAATAGCTGGAAAACGACAGCAAACATGAATGTTGCTGGCGTGTTAAACTGAAATGTATTAGATGTTTTATGTCACTCTTATCATTCTTGAAATTCCTCTTTCTCTAAGAAATCAAACTATATTAAAAATAAATATTTGATTGTAAGTCGTCCACACGGAATAATCGCTCGTCTTAATAAAGCATTTTCTTCTTCAGAGCATCCTTGATCACCAAACAAGCAGTCTATTCTGCGCTCACACCCTCAACCTAACGTTAAACTCGAATAACAGAAAGATAAAAAGAATCTTTATATTTTTTGATAAACATCCGATTAGTGGAATTTCTAAGACGGATTTTGATACTGTGGTAAAATATTTGCTGGTATATCGAAATTGACGACTAAACCTTTGTCCAATACAAGAATTCGATCACTGTTCGCAACGGTATCAAGTCGATGAGCAATGGTCAGAACAGTTCGATCACGAAACTTCTTCGCCAATGTTGTTTGAATAATCGAATCGATCTGCTGATCAACATTCGATGTAGCTTCATCGATCAATAAGATTTTACTCTGTTTCAAGATTGCTCGAGCAATACAAATCAATTGAGCTTGTCCCACACTTATATTTCCACCTGAATCCGTAGTCAGCATCTCAAGTCCCATCGGATGATCGCTGACAAATTGTTTCAATTGCACATCATCCAATGCCATCCAGCATTGTTCATCCGAATAGAGATTAAACGGATCAAGATTGTATCGGAGAGTGCCACTGAAAAGAGTCGGATGTTGAGGAATAATGCTAAGATGAGATCGAAGTTTCTGTAGGGTAATACGACTAATGTCGATATTGTCGATGAGTATTGTACCTTGAATATGGGAGCGATGAATAAAACGGAAGATACCTTTGAAAAGAGATGACTTTCCTGCACCAGTTCGACCTATAATACCGACTTTTTCAGCAGATTTAATTTTGATGTTAATGTTCGTCAGAACAGGATCGAGATCTTTTCGATGACATAAGGAATAGTTTCGAAAATCGATTTCTCCATGTGTTGGCCAATCCGGCTCTGTATTAACCAAACGTTGATGCCCACCTTGATCGTCCTCAGGTGGGACTTGTGAATACTGATAAACCCGTTCGACACTTGCCATTAATAGATCACACTCGAGCAGTTGCTGAATGGCCAATTGAAATGATTTCGGCATGGAAATAGCATACGATAGTGCAAATACAATGATAGATGGATCGATCCTATCGTGAAAAGCCACGAGAAGAATTGCAGTAGCAACTATACTGGTGAGCGGTAAAAGATTAAGTCGCATACCAAACCATCGTGTGGCCCCTTTCGTGTTAATCGAAACACGAGCTTTCCGATCGAGTCGATTGATAAACGAACTAATGAAATGTTCTTCGATTTTGAATGCGCGTAGACTGACCGAACCATAAAGTGATGTAGAAAGAAGATCATAAACCGGACTAGAAGTTGTGCTTTCAAATTGTTTCAATTGATTTTTCGATCGTAGATAAAAACGACACAAGAAAATAAAGAACGGAATCAATGCGACAATGACCAGCAAAACGTATGGTCTAACAAGACAAATGACAACGACTGATCCGACGAACATCGATGCGCTTTTAATAGCAAGTAATAAAATAGGTGGTAAGGTTTCATCAACGACTTTCTGGTCTGAACTTGCTCGACAAAGGATTCGACCACTTGAGTTACTTTCAAAGAATTCAATCGTTGTGTTCAATAGACCTTTTAGCATAGAGTTATGTAAGTTGTTTGCACCATGTAGAATAATGAAGAAAAAGAGAATAGTACGGAGTACGTCTGATCCTATAGTACTAACAACCAAACCAAAGTAAATATGAACAAATGTGGGTTGGGAGTGCTGTTCAGCAGGAGAATGCTTTGACCAAACTCGAAGCCAATAGTTTGAACCATCGTAGAAAATTTCGCAGATGACAGTCAAAAAGATTAAGGAACTTAATCCACACACGCCTAATGGTGATGAAATGAATAAGTGGAACCATAAACTCCAATTTGTTTGACCATGAACAGATGCTTCTTTTGTAATGATTGGTTGTGTGTCAATCGTTGATGTACTGTCACTAATAAGATTTTCTAATTCTGACATTTCACATTTTTTTGTTCGATTTTGTGCACGAAGAAATTCATCTGAATGGACTTGTTCATCAATGCGACCTTGCGTGAGAAATATGATTTGATTTGCATCAGCAAGGAATTGTGTTTGATGTGTAACTAACAGACAAGTCTTGTTTTTCAGAAGTCCTGTTGAGCTAAAACATCTTTCATAAATTTGTCTAGCAACTTCACCATCTACTGACGCTAACGGATCGTCAACAAGGTAAACATCAGCCTTCCTATACAATGCTCGAGCCAAAGATACGCGTGCTCTCTGACCACCGCTTAGATTTATACCTCTTTCTCCGATCATTGTCAAATCACCGGCAGTTCCAATTGAATTCAAATCAACATCAAGACAACAAGCGTGAAGAATGTTGCGATAGCGTTGTGGTTTAAATGGTTGATCGAGGATGATGTTATTTCGAATCGTGTCTGCAAATATCCATGGCGATTGAGATGCATATGAAAATGAACTTCCATGTGTTATCAGTTGACCATCAGTTAGAGTTATTTCACCTAGAATAGCAGCCAGAAGTGATGATTTACCAGCACCAACTGCTCCAACAATGCCAACGAAACTACCGGATTTTATATTGATATTCAATGACAAAAGACAAGGCTGCCTGTCGGCCCAAGCGAAAGATGCATTGAGCATGGAAATACATCCTTTCTGTGAATCGTCAGGTGAGGGTATCGAATAAATCTGATTTTGTGTTGTCAAACGCATGAATTCATCGATTCTTCTTGAAGCTCCTAGAATCCCTGTCAATCTTTCCGTTAAAACCGACATAACAAACATAAATTGACTCCGTAAAAGACCGAAAAGTGCTAATACAGTGAAACAATCGACTGCATTCAGTGGATAATCCAACAACCAATACACACCAAACATTGTAAGCCCGAGAAGTGGCGTCAAAATAAACATAAAAATAGAATTCAAAACTGTCAGAATATGAATGCGTCGTAGAACACTCAGCTCCTTTTTACGCATTTGACCTATTCGATCTTCCATCGACTTTTCCCAATTGTATACTTTAATCGTATAATACCCGTGAATCATTTCATAAAAAGCACGAACACGTTGATTATTATAGAAGATCTTCAGATCGTCATATTGACTCACATAGCGACCAATCCATAACAAACAGATGATACTCAAAGCGAATACGATGAAAGTCGCACACGTTGGTATCGATCCGACAATCCAACAAAGTAAAATAAATACGATTATAGTTTCGATTATTCCTCCAAATACAGCATGGCTATGCGAGAACATTTCTTCGAATTTTGCAGTGTCATTTACAATAAGATTGACCATTTGCCCCATGTTGATTTTCTGCCACATTACCAAGGTGATGGATAATGAACGTCGATAGATGATCAACATCAGTGTATTACGGATTCGTAAAGCCATTCGATACGAGGAAAAAAGTATTTGATGTTCGAGAACATACTGGACAACAACAAATAAACACAATAATATCAGATAAAAATATGTTGTTACAAGTGACGGTTGTTTATTCGTCAGGCTCAAAACTACCTGACGAACTAATAAGGGTTGAACAATACGAGAAAAGATGTATGGGACAGAGCACACAGCTGTTGAAATGTATTCTCTCCAAAATTCACGAATGATTATTCGACATGTCGAAGTTGACGTCCAGTCGTAAGATTCTAATCGATGTAGTAAAAACGATGATTTATCTCGGTTTGGTAAAGGATCAAGATCATCATCAGTTAAGACTTGTTTGTATCCTGTGAGTAATGTAGGAGATATCCAATACCAACATAAGAGATATAACCATCGAGTCCATGACGATTCTGCCCATTCAAGATTAGATGAACGATTCTTTGAATGACTATGACTGAGTAATCTTTCACGCCCATCATCAAATCGTTTGATCATCGTGAGGATTATTTTGATAAAAATTGTGTCGTATAATGGTGTAAAAAGGGCAGTAAAAGGGAAAATATAGATAAAAATACAGTAATCGATGAGGATAGGATACGCATGGTTAATCTAATGAGAACGTTATTCAGGTGCGGCGCTTTGACTACATTCGTTTATACAGTATTCGATATACCGTAGTGACAGTTTTAGCCGAAATATATATCAATATATTAAGGGATTTTTATAGCTGGTTCTTTAATTTCAAAATTTGCTTTTTATTGTCTTTATGCAAACTCTGAATCAAAAGATACATAAATTGAAATCTAGACTATCCGGCCGCCACTTGTGTGTGCTTCCTTTTAGTGATAAGAAAGGGCAGAAATCAGTTATATTCTTCTCACCCCGAACTCGATGCAAGTCCAGAAGAACCATTGTAGATCAATGTCCAATTCGATCTGAAAAATCAAAGAAGATTCAATGGAGTTACTTCATTCAACTATATCATTGGTAATGTGCCACGCGCAGCGCTTCCATACAGAGTTTCATTCAATGATGCCATTATGACCAGATCAGTGAAAGAAAGATTTTCTTTCGATTAATGTGAGCAGTATTTACTTATCGATTGCGCTTCTACCGCTGAAACTGTAGATATTCGTCCTTTCACTGGTTGATTTCACTTGTAGGTGTCCTTGATTTAGATTTGTAAAGCTGAACAACATGAACTAGTGAAGGTGATAATTGAAAGATTACTCAACAAAAAGCGAGAGTCACGAGAGCATATTGTAAATGGACAGAACACCTTAATGGACGACACTAAGAATTACATTTCCAACGATCACTGGTTCTAAATCAAAACCATTTCGAGACTTATATGTTACATATTCTCTTCGAACACTTTCAATATGTCATCAACAGAAGTACGTATTCGAAAGCAAATTATCTTGCAATGTTGATCCCAAAACAATTGCAATTGATAAAGTAGATGTCGTTAATGGATAGAATTATATTCAATATCATTTCTCATTGGTTTTCGTTTCTTTTTTCGATATTTTTGTTCATTACAAACAAACTAATATTTTTTACAACAATGAGCATTCTTTGAATGAGATCCTCTGATTTTGTTCATTATTGGATGTTTTCATCTGGCTGACTCACCGTCGCGAAAGAGAAAGAAAAAGGTACGCTCTGACGATAAAGGTCGAAGAGTTTAAAGAGATGAAATCTTGTTTATTTTAGATCTTAAAATGAATAACGAAGAGGACAAAAGTCTTCCATCATCTCAATTAGGTGTTCCCGATGATGTTGAAGCTGAATTTCAGAAAGATCCTGTTGATCGTGATTTCAAAAACATTCTCGTTGTTTTAATAATGATCATTTGTAGTTTATTAACATCCTATTTCTCAAATAATCCTTATGGAAATTATTTACCACTCATTTTAATTTCAACCTTCGAATGGTATCGATCATATCCGCGACAAAAACGTTCGTATTATGGTTTATTTCGTTTATTATTATACGTTTTAATCATTAGTTTATGGAACGTGTTGGTTTTGAAAATTTTCCTAGAAATCATTTCATATTCCATTGGTTATCATCGAATTCCATTCAAACGAATCGAACATTTATTTCCCTATGCATTAATTATCACTTCATTTGCCCGAACGAGTCAAGAAATGGATTTAAACGACAAACGAAGGTACATAATCCATTTACTCTATGATATTCCTGCATTTCTGCTAGTTCTGATCTTCAAATTATTAAACAATCCATTGAATTGTTTGTACAGTCAAATCTCGACGCATTGTTATCTCGGTTGTTTACCTTTACCGTCGGATGTTGCAGAATTGAACAAAGTTGCCATAAAAAATGTTGTAAATATGTGTGCAGAATATCGTGGACCGAGGAAAACATATGAGAAATACGGAATTAAACAATTGTATTTACCAACAATTGATACGGTTTCACCTTCACGGCAAACGATCGAAAAGGCAATGAAATTTATGAAGGAAGCTCTAGATCGAAACGAGAATATCTTTGTTCATTGTAAAGCAGGAATGGGAAGAAGTGCGACGATCGTTTATTGTCATTTAATCGTCAATGAACATATGACACCCGAAGAGGCAATGAAATTAATCAAAGAAAAACGGCCGGAAGTCACAACAAGTCTTATTCATTATCACTCGGTGAAGCGTTTCCTCTCGTCATTGAACAACAACAACAAATCTCAATAAACTTTCGAATTCTTTTATAGGAAATTTATTCAAGCACAAGTCAATAAAAAGTTTATTTATCTTTGTTTTCACGAAGAAGTTTTTCGTATCGAATAAGTTGGAGAAAGAAGCCGAAGTTCGGTGCAGCAACACGTCGACAATTAACCAAATGATCGTAAGCATCGGAAAGTGTTTCGAAATGATATGTGATGAGGTATGCGAGAATGATCGAAGATGAACGAGAAATTCCCATTTGACAATGAACTAAAACTTTCTCGTTTTTGTTTTGACATAAACGTAGAAATTTGTTTGTTTGCTCAAAATAATTTTCGATAGTTACGCCAAGTTCATCTCCGATGTTTATCCATAAGACATTGAAATTATCGCGAATTTCGTTATCTAATTCGATGTCTGAAACGTTTAAAATGTGTTTTATACCGATTTCTTGTAATAGATTGTAGTTTCTTGCATGTCCGAGATCGCCATGATAAAGAAAATTGTCAAGAATTGTCGATGGTAATCGAACATTTGGACGTTTTTTCGGAATTCCACGATCTTTNACGCCAAGTTCATCTCCGATGTTTATCCATAAGACATTGAAATTATCGCGAATTTCGTTATCTAATTCGATGTCTGAAACGTTTAAAATGTGTTTTATACCGATTTCTTGTAATAGATTGTAGTTTCTTGCATGTCCGAGATCGCCATGATAAAGAAAATTGTCAAGAATTGTCGATGGTAATCGAACATTTGGACGTTTTTTCGGAATTCCACGATCTTTTGTTTTGATCTGACATAATTCTTTGAGATAAGCGATTTCCTCATTGGTTGCTTTTAAATCATTTGTTAAATAATATTCCATTTTGTCAATCATCCACACGTTTGATCTTGCCGCCATGGTTTTACTTAATGCAAAGAGAAAAATATGAAGTAAAGTCACGTATTGCACAAGACTCTTTATATTTCCTTTCTTCTAATGACTCATCTGACCATATATGGCAAAAAAAAAAAAACACACACTTTGTCATTTATTATAAAATAAAGAAAAACTCGCAGAAACTAGTAAAATAACGATGCATTCGTTGTAACAGTATTGTTGATATTAAATCCACCACTTGCTAAAAGTTTCCCATCGTTTAATAAACATGGTGTATATCCTTGTGGCATATCGGATATGTTACCGAGCGACATCCAAATTCCTGTCGATGGATCATACAAATGATCAGTATTAACAGCGTCAGTTATTAACATTTTTCCATCAGGAAATACAGCTCTTATCCGTATGTATTGTACACTAGCCAAATCAGTAAAAGGTGTTGACCATGTACCAGTTGTTGGATCGTACAATTCAGTTTTGTTTAAATAATCCCACCATCCCCATTCTTGAACTATTAATACGGAACCATTGGATAGTACAGATGCTTTATGTTGATAATGTGTATAAGTCAAATTACCAGTCAGTGTCCATATTTCTGTCGATGGATCATACAATTCAGCAGTATTCAAAGTAATATTTCCGAAAATACCTCCAGTCACTAAAACCTTTCCATTAGATAAAACCGTTGCCGTGTGAAGATATCGTGAATAGGTCATATTACCAGTTGATGTCCAATTGTTTGTTAATGGATCATATAATTCAGCAGTCACCCCTGCCCCTCCAGCTACTAACACCTTTCCATTGCTTAACGGAGATGCCGTGTACATATAACGACCATTAATCATATTACCAGTAGGTGTCCATAAACCTGTTACTGGATCATATAATTCAGGAATGTTGAAAAAATTACTAATAACTAATACTTTTCCATTCGTTAATACAGTTGCTGTATGTTCATATCTTGTATAATTCAAATTGCCCGTTCGTGTCCACATACCTGTTAATGGATCGTATAGCTCCGCGTTGTTCAAATGAGCACTATTATTCGATCCACCGCTGATTAACACTTTTCCATCGGATAATATCGATGCAGTATGTCCCCATCGTGCAATTGTCATATTACCAGTAGAAAACCAACCTACAAATCAGATTTCACAATGATTTCAGCCATGTTTATCTTAATTACCTTGCCGACAGAATCTTGTTGCTATTACTGGTATACATACAGATTTTGGTGAACAACATGAATTAATAATGCAGACAGATTGATTTGATGAACAAGTATTATTACATGGTTCTAAGATTGAGCATTGAATTCCTGGAGCACAAAAACTCATATTATTCGATGTACGATAATCAAAACAAGGTGTCGATTGTAAACGGCAAGTTGAATTATTTGATAAATATGCATTGCATTGTTCTAATGAACAATTCGATAGTTGATTCTGTCCAGAATGAGATGAAACAGATAATGAAAATNAGACAGATTGATTTGATGAACAAGTATTATTACATGGTTCTAAGATTGAGCATTGAATTCCTGGAGCACAAAAACTCATATTATTCGATGTACGATAATCAAAACAAGGTGTCGATTGTAAACGGCAAGTTGAATTATTTGATAAATATGCATTGCATTGTTCTAATGAACAATTCGATAGTTGATTCTGTCCAGAATGAGATGAAACAGATAATGAAAATTGTACTTGAATATCATTTTCATTTTATGACATGAATAATCCGATGCTTCAATACTGAGAATGAAAAATAAAAATATTGTGATTCACATAGTCTTCTTTTTTCTGTAGCGAACAATACGAAGAGAAGTGTGATTATATTTCACCGATAGAAGAAAAATATAATGAGAATGTTTTTTTTGTTATTGAAGTCATTTTTATTTCATGTGTCACTTCTGACTTGATGGTTTTAATTTCATTTGGATTGTATTATTTTTCGTTAAATTTACTCATTCAAAAGAGTGGCTGTGCAATATTCTATTCCTTTCTCAACAAAGTCATCATTCATCGTCTCATGTATATTTAGATTTGTAAATACAACTTATTTTCAAGAATTTTCTACTTAAATCATTAAAACAATGAAAAAGTTAATACAATAGTTACTGAATTCGTGCTGTGTAAGAACTATTTGCACGACGAATCACTGTGTCGGTAATCATTTGAGAATTAAGTTGGAGAAAAGTATGTGCTGATTTTGTCATCTGATATTCAGCAATGATGTCATCTCGCGTTGAACCCATAGCGCGTAGACAACAGTAAATAGGACCAAAAATAAGACACAAGCAAGAAATACAACACAACACACGAACCAATAATGAATTAGCAAAACGGCTAAGTGTTGAAGATGAACGAGCGATAATTTTATAATTGCGTTTATTGTAAGCCTAGAAAATAAGGGAAAAACAAATTCTATGACAATTTAAGTATTGCAATCGTGCTCACGACATGAATATCATTTCTATAACCAGTGGAACGAACTAACGCAATAAGTTTTGCTTTTAGGTCTTCCAAATTCCAGCCGTGTAGTTGCTTTCGTAGGGTGATTTCTTTAATTTTCTTGTTTGAAAGTGTATATTGTTCAAGAACGTCTCTTAATGTAATGACGTCGCCAGCCCTGTTTGCCTTTGCCGAAGCCATAGCGGCAACACGCCACCAACGATCACAAATGTATGGCTGTAGATCAATGGCGCAAGTAAATTCATTCACAGTGCGAGACTTTGTCACAGTATTACTTTGCGAGTTACCACTAGAGTCATTATAAGTCTCCGTTTCTGTGTAATACTACAAAAAAAGAAACGATACAGATGACAGAAATAAGAGTTTTTTTTTCTGTCGCATTTGTTGAAAGTTAAAATACCTCTGTATAAGAACCCCAAATATTGATTACTAATCCCGGTTTCTCATTAAGATAAGTCATGAAATAAAGCCATAATTGATCGGGATTTTTATCAATAAGTTGATCTAACGAAAGAACGCCTTTCCAACTACGTTCTGCTGCCGCTTTAGACACTTCTGTAAATGGAGCAACATCATTATAATATAAAATAGCTCCATTAGGCACATTTGATATATCAAAATAGTTTGGCGGAGGATCGTCGGCGATAGATATAGGTGAATTAGCAGATGTATTTAAAGTTTGCAGCTTCATATTTTTATTCGATAGTAACATGGGATCATCCGAGGTTGTAGTCGGACCTTCTGGAACTGTCCATACTGGTGCACTAGACATTGAATAGATCTCAGTAGTCAAATCACTTGGAATCGTACTACTGTTTGCCATAGACCCAACTTATTTCTATTCATTCTTCTCAAAGCAAAACTTTATATATATCTACATAGGTCTCATGGCATTTGTGATAATGATAAAAACTCGTATGATTATCTATGACACATACTTGATTCACGTCGAAAGTATCTTTTGCAGCATGAAAAGAGATAAGAATGACATGGTCACTCTTCAATGAAACAACAAAGAGTGTATAGATAACACACACATTGTTAGAATAACACAAATGACAACATTCGTATTCAGCGCATACAGGTAGCACTTGAGACTTGAATTTAACTCTCTAGAATCTCTCACTGGAAGACCAGCTAACCTTGAGTGTAAGTCACTTGTATTGACTATTCAGCCCGGAGATCACGTNAAAACAAGGTGTCGATTGTAAACGGCAAGTTGAATTATTTGATAAATATGCATTGCATTGTTCTAATGAACAATTCGATAGTTGATTCTGTCCAGAATGAGATGAAACAGATAATGAAAATCGTACTTGAATATCATTTTCATGACATGAATAATCGGATGCTTCAATACTGAGAATGAAAAATAAGAATATTGTGGTCCACATAGTCTTCTTTTTTTATGTAGCGAACAATACGAAGAGAAGTGTGATTGTATTTCACCGATAGGAGAAAAACAAAATTGAAAATGTTTTTTTTTTGTTATTGAAGTCGTTTTTATTTCATGTGTCACTTCTGACTTGATGGCTTTAATTTCATTTGGATTGTATTATTTTTCGTTAAATTTACTCATTCAAAAGAGTGGCTGTACAATATTCTATTCCTTTCTCAACAAAGTCATCATTCACCTTCGACCATGCATCGTCGCGTGTATATTTAGATTTGTAAATACAACTTATTTTCAAGTATCTTCTACTTAAATCATCAAAACAATGAAAAAGTTAATACAATAGCTACTGAATTCGTGCTGTGTACGAACTATTTGCACGGCGAATCACCGTATCAGTAATCAAGTTAGAATTAAGTCGGAGAAAAGTATCTGCTGGTTTCATCATCTTATAATCAGCAATGATGTTATCTCGTGTTGAACCCATAGCGCGTAAACAACAGTAAATAGGACGAAAAATAAGACACAAACAGGAAATAACACACAATACACGAACCAATAATGAATTAGCAAAACGGTTCAGTGGTGAAGATGAACGAGCGACAATTTTATAATTACGTTTGATATAAGTCTAGACAATAAGAGAAAAGCAAGTTTTATGACGAATGAAGTAAAACAGTGATACTCACAACATGAATATCATATCGATAACCTGTTGAGCGAACTAATTCAGTAATGTTTGCTTTTAGATGTTCCAAATTCCAGCCGTGTATTTGCTTTCGCAGGGTGATTTCTTTAAATTTCTTGTTTGAAAATGTATATTGTTCAAGAACGTCTCTTAATGTAATGACGTCGCCGGCCCTGCTTGCCTTTAACGAAGGCATAGCGGCAACACGCCACCAACGATCACAAATGTATGGCTGTAGATCAATGGCGCAAGTAAATTCATCCATAGTGCGAGGGTTTGTCACAGTATTACCTTGCGAGTTACCACTAGTCCCCGTTTCTGTGTAATACTACAAATAAGAACGATACAAATGACAGAAATGTTTATTCTGACGCATTTGTTGAGAGTTAAAATACCTCTGTATAAGAACCCCGAATATTGATTACTAATTCCGGTTTCTCCTCAAGATAAGTCATGAAATAAAGCCATAATTGATCAGGATTTTTATCAATAAGTTGGTCTAGCGACATAACACCTTTCCACAAACGTTCTGTTGCTGCTTTGGACGGTTCGATAAATGGAAGAACATCATTATGATATAAAATAGCTCCACTAGGCACATTTGATATATCAAAATAGTTCGGTGGACGATCGTCATCGTCAGCTGCAGGTGAATTGGCAGATGTATTAAAAGTTTGTAGTTGCACATTTTCAGTCGATAGTAACACGAGGTCATGCGAGGTTGTAGTAGGATCTTTTGGAACTGTCCATACTGGTGCATTAGACATTGAATAGATCTAGAGTCAAATCTTTTGGAATCGTACTACTGTTTGCCGTATATACCCAACTTATTTCTATTTATTCTTGTCGAAACAAAACTTTATATATACGTATGTCTACATAGATATGGTATTTGTGATAATGATAGAAACTCGTATGATTATCTATGACACATACTTGATTCACGTCGAAAGTATCTTTTGCAGTATGAAAAGAGATAAGAATGACATGGTCACTCTTCAATGAAACAACAAAGAGTGTATAGATAACACACACATTGTTAGAATAACACAAATGACAACATTCGTATTCAGCGCATACAGGTAGCACTTGAGACTTGAATTTAACTCTCTAGAATCTCTCACTGGAAGACCAGCTAAACTTGAGTGTAAGTCACTTTTATTGACTATTCAGCCCGGAGATCACGTCATTCGGCACATGCGCTGTTCATATATTGCATATCGATGATCCATTCAGTAATAGTATGGATATGTCCTCAATTCTCGATGTTCACCTGTGGCAGTATGTCATCCAGTTTAGAAACGATCAAATGATACATGAGCACCATGTGATGATCAGGGTGGGTCATTTACATCAACTTAAAACAAAATTCAAGTTTTTCAGTACAGAGCGAGCATCTTCAATCAAGTAACGTATCCTTGGGCATGAGAATTAAACAGATATATAAATAGTTCGTGCAGACATAATTCTGAATATTCATACGAAGAATAGACTCCTGTTACACAAATATTTGTTTTCCCTGGACCTGATTCATACTGTGGTGGCGATGTAATTGACGTCCAGTTGGATATCTCCACGTACTATATCCGATATTAACACCAACCGTAAATTTCATCAATTACATAACTACCGATGGAAATTTAGATTTGTCATTTATAAACGCTAGACGAGTGTATGTTGTCACCACTTTCATATATTCTTATCAAAAAGAAGTATTATAATCAGTGCGAATTGATGACGTATATGCTAGACAAACATAGAATTAGATATCATTTATTTTGTAACCGGCGACGGATTCCCTTGAAAAAGGTTTCCTTTCTTTTTGAGAAAAAGTATTTTAAGATCCAATAATATCTTAGCATGACTCTGAATACAAAAGAATGATTATAAGTAAAACAAACGAGAGAAGTCTGAGACATAATGCTGAGAATTTTCCTCCTTACATGTATCTCTTGGAGGAGACAGAAAAAGTAGAATGAGCGTATGTAAGTAGCAAACACTACAAATCATCATGTCGTCAAACTTACAGAGCAGCGCCTGGTAGATATTTTTCTCCAATACTTATTTACGGTTATCGAATTTGTTCCATACTGTGTTGAGTCATATAGCAGTATGTCTGTTTCGAAAACATTTGGCAATGAAGATAAAAGCATGATTTTATGGGAATAATTGTTGGACCTTCCTATTTATTCATTATCTAGTGAAATTTCTATTGTGTTGTCAGTAATTATAGCTTATGTGTCCAACTGCTTTTGACGGAAAAATAAAATTCAGATCGTTTGTAAGAAAGCAAACATTTGGACTTGTAACGACCAACGGAAAAGTTCTTATGCCCTCATATAATCGATTCTGAGTAAACTAAGTACGTCTTGAGATGGTTACGGTCTCTTAAGCTTTTTCTTGATTACGAAGCACTTATGGCCACCTCCAAATCATGCGCAGATAAATGACGAGTTACACTCAAGCGTATGCAGCATGTTAAAGATGAGTCAGAACGAGAACGTGATAGATATCGACTACTCGCTCTTGGTATGTAAAAAAAACGAAGCGACATGCTAACTGTCGGATTGATGTCTGCTCAAAAACAAGTATTTGTATATCATCTAGACTACTAAAAGTTATTGTTGGATCGTATAGAGTTCAGATTTGTTTGCATATTTCATCATCTTCATTCATCAACGATTAATACTAAATCATTGGATGGAATAGATATTTAATGCTGAAGACGTACATAAATCGTTCATGAACTCTTTGATAAATCTTTTTTACTATTAAACGGATTTTTGGCAATCTGACCGACTTGAAAAACTGCCCAGGCTTTTTTTTTAGGAGTATGTCAATACAAAGTTTCATGTAGAATCCTGTTATCCAGCTTCACCCACACCTTCACGCCCTCATATTTACCCTCATCTTATCCCTGGCGAGTTTTTCAAATTCGGCGATATTGCTGAAATTCTGTTTTCGAAACTCCTATTGTCGATTTTCCGTTTTACGCACATATATAGCGCTTGAAAAATAGATACTCTCTAGTAATGAAGTATCTGTTCGGCTTTTGCTGGTTAACATTTTTAAAAGAATGAAAGAAGATTATGACAGTAGGCAAGGATATCGAGCCATCTATTTATAGACACAACTAAATTCGAGTAACACACGATCCGAGATGAAGAGAACTATGCACACACGTTCACCTTTTGAATGCACTTCAAACAAATATGAAAACTGGTATATTATTGTACATTTGATTCAAAATAATATTTTGTCAAAACCATCTATGAATTTGATAATTGAATGAATAAATGAAAAGATGTTTCTTCCTCTTCAATACGAATAGAACAACGAATTTATTCATTATCATTTAACTCTATGCGTTAATCTAAACCTTTCCATTTTCTAAAATTCCTTGTTGGTACATTGAATTCCCGATGGATGTTCATAATAACTGCAAAGCACAGTTGAATTTCCACTTGGCGAAAGAACATGCCATTCTTTAAATACTAAATTACAGATACCCAACGGTGGACACTCAATGTTCGCCACAACTGGATCATATGTCTTAGAAGTTCTTCCGCGTAGATTAATAAAATTAATATCATAAAGTTTAGCAGCAGATGGATTCGTNTCTTCAATCAAGTAACGTATCCTTGGGCATGAGAATTAAACAGATATACAAATAGTTCGTGCAGACATAATTCTGAATATTCATACGAAGAATAGACTCCTGTTACACAAATATTTGTTTTCCCTGGACCTGATTCATACTGTGGTGGCGATGTAATTGACGTCCAGTTGGATATCTCCACGTACTATATCTGATATAAACGGGTGTATTTCACATTATTAACTTTGTATACATCATTATAATCATGTTACCATCTATCCTGGCTATGGTTACGAGATGACAATGATCACCTCAACTCTAGGCCTTTGCCGATTTTCTTTGTACATGGCATACGTGTTGGTTGTCTTCAATTCAACCTGTTTAATTTTAGCTGCCGCAGATCGGTTGATGATCACTTCACAAAATGTTCGGATAAGACACCGAAGCACTTGCCGTCTTGCTTATATCAACATTGATCTTATTGAGTGTTATTCAGCTTAGACCAAAATGTATTCGTTTGTTATAGGATAAATCAAACCTATCTGATAACCATATGCTACTATGCACTTGTGAACAGTGTTGTCATTCCATCACTTCTAACTGCTGATTTGGATATTTTAGCCAGAAGACATGTTCGAAAATTGGATCGGCATATAGTTAATCCTGATGTATCCGCAGATACGATGAGCAACAATCGTGCTGTACGGATGATTTATCACAAAGTTCGTCAACTAATTTCGAATTCTTCTAACTGATATAACCATTTATATTTTAAGCATATATCCTCAAACGGGACTCAATACAATGCGAAAAATACAGAGCAGCGCCTGGTAGATGTTTTTCTCCAATACTTATTTGCGGTTACCGGATTTGTTCCATACTGTGGTGGGTCATATAGCAGTAGGTTTGTTTTTTCGAAAACATTTTGCAATGAAGTGAAAAGCATCATTGTATGCAAATAATTGTTGGACTCGTCTATTTATTCATTATCTAGTGAACTTTCTATTGTGTTGCCAGTGATTATAGCTTATGTGTCTAGCTGCTTTTCACGGAAACAAACATTTTTACTTGTAACGACGAACAGAAAAGTTCTCAGGCTCTCATATAATCTATTCTGATTACAAACCTTAGTTAAATTTTTTAGACTCAAGCGCATGCAGCATGTTAAAGATGAGTTAGAACGAGAAGGTGATAGATATCGACTACTTGCTCTTGGTATGTAAAAAACGAAGCGACATGCTAACTGTCGGATTGATGTCTGCCCAAAAACAAGTATTTGTATACCAGCTAGACTACTAAAAACTTTTGTTGAATCATATAGAGTTAAGATTTGTTTGCATATTTCATCATCTTCATTCATCAACGATTAATATTGAATCATTGGATGGAACAGATATTTGATGCTGAAGTCGTACATAAATCGTTCATGACCTCTTCGATAAATCTTTGTTACTTTTAAACGAATTTTTAACAATCTGACCGATTTGAAAAACTGTCCAGGCTTTTTTAGAAGTTTGTCAATACAAAGAATCCTGTTGCCCAGATTCAACCACACCTTCACATCCTCATATCCACCCTCATCTTGTTCCTGAAGAGTTTTTCAAATTCTGCGATATTGCCGAAATTCGGTTTTTGAAACTCCTATTGTCGATTTTCCTTTTTACTAGATCTTCGCTTTATGCACATATATAGCGCTTGTAAAGAATGAAAGAAGATTATGACAGTAGGCAAGAATATCGAGCCATCTATTTATAGACACAACTAAATTCGAGTAACATACGATCCAAGATGAGGGGAACCTATGCACACACGTTCACCTTTTGAATGCACTTCAAACAAGTATGAAAACTGGTATAATATCGTACATTTGATTCAAAATAATATTTTGTCAATGCCATCTATGAATTTGATAATTGAATGAATAAATGAAAAGATGTTTATTCCTCTTTAATACGAATAGAACAACGAATTTATTCATTATCATTTAACTCTATGCGTTAATCTAAACCTTTCCGTTTCATAAAATTCCTTGTTTGTACATTTAATTCCCGACGGATGTTCATAATAACTGCAAAGCACAGTTGAATTTCCACTTAGCGAAAGAACATGCCATTCTTTAAATACTAAATTACAGATACCCAACGGTGGACACTCAATGTTCGCCACAACTGGATCATATGTCTTAGAAGTTCTTCCGCGTAGATTAATAAAATTAATATCATAAAGTTTAGCAGCAGATGGATTCGTTTTACACATAGTTGGATCTGATTCGTAGCAATTATCAAGTCGAAATGCGTAATCACAATTGTCAACAAAGATATTTTCGTATGTTACATTACGAATCACGACTGTTCCATGCGAAGGACCACCGGGATAAAATTTAATTCGAGTTGCAAATGCTGAATTAATCATTGTGACATTGGAAATATAAACATTTTTCACAAAATATTCTCCGGGATCGCCGCCAAGACTTCCAACGGAAAGACCATGTGATCCGATACAAGTTAAGTTTTGAACTGTTACGTAATTTGAACCATTTTTGAACGAAACACAATCGTCGCCATTTATCACGTGAATATCACTTATTGTTACATATGAACAGTCACCTGTATCGAAACCATCAGTATTTTTCGGTAAACTCGACGATGTTGATATCGCGCTTAGCGTTAAATTAGCAAATGTCACATTTCGGGAGTTATCAGTAACGAAAATAAACCAAAATGCTGGATTTTTCAGTGAAAATTTGTTGAAAACAACGTTTGAAGAGTTTGTGATGTGTATAAGAAGTGGTCTTTGATACGTTTGATTCTTCGCAAAATAATCCCAAAATTTTTGTCCACTTCCATCGATCAAACCCTGACCAGTTAAAGAATGAAATGTCCCGTCCTTGACATTCGTGAAAACAAAAAACGCTTTTTTTTCTTGCCAATACTCCAAATCATCGAAAACCTTCAACGTTCCTTCGATTTGAAAATCACATGAATGACAATCCTGAAAATTCAATGGACTGCGAATGGTGAATATTTGTCCAGCTGGAATGATTATTATTCCACCATTTCCACACATTGACAGAGCTTGATGAATCGCAGGTACGTCATCAATCGAACTATTTCCAGCTGATGTTGGTTTACAAACAGTTTTGCCAAATGACAATGAAACGTTTAGAAATATGAAATAAATTAAGAAAAACGAGTGGATTGGTCTCATCATTCGAGTTTATTTCTAGTCAAATAATCGTTTACAGTTGTTTTTATCACGTTAAGAACGACGTACATCGAAACTCTGCGATAAGAAAGAGAAAAGGAAGAAAAGAATATTTTTATCATTCTTGGTTAAATACTTTCGAACTGAAATGTTTATGTAAATGTAATCGAAGTTGGATTCATGTAAACTTGACCTGGACCGGCTGCTGAAACGGAATATTTTCCAAAAGTATTTGATGAATAAGTTGTGTATACTAAGATATATTTAACATCAGATCGAAGTACGGCTGTAACACGGAATTGACTACTACCAGCTGAGTCATCATCTTGACCATGGACATTTATTTGAGGTGCAAATGGATAGAAATTTCCTTGATATATATAGCCAAATGTGTCCATATTACTTGTACTTGTGAATGTGTAAGTGCCTGTGGTGCTTACGTGTATTTCAAATGCTTGGTAGTAATATTGTCCTGTTGAACCTCCAGTACGGTTATAAAACGGATGTGACGATGTTAAATTACCATTATAAACTGCAGAGACGATGATTGCTGAAGTTGTTGCTTAAAAATGAAAAAACAAATTTTCAGTTTACTTCAAAACGAGTTTCGGAACGCACTAGTTGATGTCGTCGTCGTTGTTGTTGTCACAGGATTTAATCGCGAAAAATGGATATTTCCTGGGCCCTCTGCAATAACTGAAAAAGGCCCTGTATTACCTGCACTGTGAGTCGTTACAACCAATGTATACGGAATTCCAGCTTGGAGATAAACAGGTAATTTGAATTGACCTCCACCCGCGCCATCATCATTATGAGCAATTAAATTAGATTGAGGATCAAATGGATTAAATGTTCCATTGTAAAGATAACCGTGTGTGTCTAATCTACTTACACTTGTTAAGTCATAGTAACCGGATGTTGGAACGTATAGTTGAATTGCTTCGTAATAGGTATTTGGCGCGCCTCCATTGGGACGTGTATATTTTCCGTCTAAAGAATCTAATGCACTTGTATAATTCGATATCCGCTGCATTGGTTCAGTTGTTTGATAAACTTAAAATAAAAAATTATTCTTTTCAATAGATAAATATCAAGTTTTTGTCTAAACCTGTTCCTGGTGGACATGATTGTTCATTGATCATTGATAATGGATAGCAAACTGGCTGGGAATTACATCGAGGATGACGAATACATATTTCGTTTGCGTCGCATGCATCATTTGGTGGTCGACATTGAGGAAATTGTCCACAGGAATAGCTAACTAATCCGCAGACATACATCGAACTCGAAAACGAATATTGTAAACAGGCACATTGAGCATTTTGTGAACATTGATCATATTGAGATGAATTTCCAGATTGACATTGACATTTTATTGAAACTATTTCAAAGCATCGATAGCGTTCTTATTGTAGGGGGAAAATGTGCTAAACTTACCGATCAAACTAAAAGAATAAAGAAAGTTTTGTTATCTGCCATAAAGAAAACAAAATTCCTTACCTTAGAAGAGCAACAGCGAGACAATAAACATTTGCTTTAAACATGTCTGGATCGGACAGTAGAAGTGAAACTACTGCAAAATTCTCTGCATACGAATTTATACCGTTAATTATGAAATTTGATTCAAATGTTATTTTCGTATATTTTACATTAAGTTAAATATTAACATAAAATAATGATGTTTTTCAGATCTGATCAAATTTCGTCTTTATTTGCGAATATTTTGGCAGAGAAAATATTCGTGCATACAGTTATGCTAACTATTGAAATTAAATTACTTCCGAACACAATTTTCATCCAGATTCATCTGGAATGAATAGGAGTGTTGGCATTTCGTTCACATCTTCATATTCCAATTTTTAGATAAGTACAAGTTCAAGTACTGAGTACGTAGAATTAAACATAATATGTCATGTTTTCACTTGTACCCAGCATATTTGTAATAACATACTATTTCGGTTCCGGCGTGATCCTGTTTGTCATTATTTTGATACGGTTGTATTACATGTTAAAAGTCCAAATATACCTCATCAGCATGCGTACAAGGCCTGATGCGAACGCTTACGAAAAAAGTGATGAATAAATAGTACAATGAAACAATCTCGAGGGTGAGGGTGAAAATTTGATGATTGGAATCGATTGAGTTCATCGACTTCTACATGGCCCTAATATGATCATAGTTGGCACGCACTCTCATGCGGATCGACTCTAGGAAAAGTCAAATCCGAAACCAAGATGTTCTACGTTTATTAAGTTGTCCTTATACTTCTTAAAGTAGTTTCTTCTATCGTACTTGTTGCTGCTCTCATATAACTTTATTTGTCAATGATAAGAGTAATTCGCAATAAGTAAATCCGATCAGAGAGAGGATATTAATCTCCAAGCATCCATCACCACCCTCAAGACGATGAAATTTCGATAGTAAACTAAACTAGATTTAACACAAAGGCTCTAGCTGTTGAAACCATCCTGCGAAGTCTAACATGATTCAGGTAATCGTACAATGTATTAGAAAATTCAGCCGTAAGCGATGATCACTTCGGTTATCATATTTAACACATTACTTATGAAAGTTTTGTTTATCGTGAAATGAAGAAACACAGTGTTAAAAATATGATTTGGAGATTTTTAACAGTAATTTGCGAAGTCTAAAAGTTCACTATTATCATTTTCCTATTACCTAACCATTAAGTGAGATTTTATTAGGGCTCCCATTAATCGATGATGTTCCACTCCTTGCACTTTCAAATCTGTGTCTATGTTTTTTATATATGAAGAAGATTCGAGGAAAACCAATTTACTCAACAAAAGAGGACGTGACAACAAACTGTACTTCATTTAAAGAATGATTGCCCAACTGTAGATCATATTGACCGAACACCAACACAAATTTACTTGCTGTTAATACGCAAAGACGCTCTGAAGTGCATTCGACCTCGTTTTTCGCGTCGAAAATTCCAATATTTAAATGCTCCTACGACTAATTCAATGCAAATTCATGCTATTGCTCAACTCAATCAATAGAAACAACAATCGATCAATTCTTTTCAAAATTGACATCCATATCTCATTCAAAACACAGCATTCCTCCGAAAAGAGCGCTTGCATAACATGAATTATCCATGGCAACTTTCTCTGAAGTTTCTCCATGATGAATCAATCTTATGGTCGATCACCGACACCTTTATCCTCGACATAATACGGTGTTCGAGTCTTACGCTAATGTGTACTAGAATCGATAATCTCTGAAAATGCAATCCGATATTGATAAAGTTCTTCGAGAAAGACAAAATTCTCGGATGAGATCCAAAGTTGGGCTTTTTGTTGAAAAAAAACTCACAAACAATCACATTAGATTGCAAAAGAACTTTATAGAGCACATAGTCAAGATATTTGACATGTTTGCGACTTTGTTGGTTCACTTGTAATTTGTTCCAGGTACAATTTTCGTAGTAGAAAAGCAAATGTTGTGAACTGATGTGGTAAAAGGCGTTTACCTTTGCATACTTCACTGAATTCATTCGAATAAATTTCTCGTTGCGATTCGATTTTGTCATCATTCGTAAGACTCTTTGCATAATTTAACATGTGAGAACCATTTTCAAATTGATATAACTTCCACAGATCTATTGGAATTTGATTTTCCTGAAACCATTGTTTAATATCACTTTTAGTCCATTGATTGACTGGTTTTTTCGAAAGATCGACTAGTAGCTCGTGAGCATCTTTTTCACTTATAACTGGAATATCATGATGAACAGGCAATGTTAATGATTGTTCATCTTTTGTTAAATTGATTCCGAAAAGGTTTTCTTTGATCATCTCTATCAGCTCTTTGAATTTCTCTTGTTCCAGTTGCTTTACATTTCTAAATCGAACATATTTCATAATGCACGTATGAATAGCTAGAGAGAGAAAAATGAGAAAGTTTTGATAAGGAAATTAAGACAAATCACAGTACCTATCCATCCCGGTGGTTTATCATCCAAAATAAAGATTGGGATGATAATTTTCTTCAAATGATCATGTGCATAGACGAATTCTTGTTGACACGATTTACTTTCGTAATATTTACTTGATAATAAACATAAAATAATGTTTGCATCTGCCATTCCATCCGCTATTTTTCCCCACAAATAACCTGTTTTACTATTTTTCCAATCAATCCAAATATCAAATTGTCTATTGTATTTGTCCAATTCATTGTAGATTTGAGAACAAATGCTATTATCACTATGAGCATAACTAATCATAATTGATGGTTTTTTATCTTTTGTTAATGTTGATATTTGCTGTTGATTCGAAAGATTAATTTCATTCGTGTTAATATTACAAAGAATACCTTCTGCAGCTTTTTGGATATTTTCCATATATTTCGGTACATAATGAGTCGGATCAATCAGAGTTTTCTGATGGATAAATTCTTCTAATAAACTTTTTAATTGAAGATTTTCTTTCAATTCGTCTTTATATTGTTGTCGAAGTGAAATACTCCATAGGATATTACAAAGTGCCGTCAATGTTGATAATTTCAACGGATCATTTTGTTGAACTTGTTTGTGAAAATTTAAGAATAATTCAATAAAAAATTTCACGATCGAATCAGCATCAAATTCCACTTGTGCATGTTGTAAAATATAATCCAATGTTCTTTCATAACAAATCAATCGAACTAAAACAATCGACGGTTCAGAAATATGCCATCCATCACTCATATATGTCGGTGGTCGTTTTGATGCATCATTAACGATTTCCAGCAATTGGTCAAGAATATTATTCATTCGTTTACGTTCATTTTTAATTTGTTCAGGTGTAGAAAGAAGTGCCATTGTCATTGCACAGATTATATCGATTTCAGCAATTCGATGATCTTTTTGAAATTCTTTTAACTTGTTTGTTGCATCAAGTGCATTCAAAATTTGTACACCTTCATCGTGACGACTGATGTTATAAATTATACCAATAAGGTGTTTATAACTCGGTGACGATTGTTCGCTAAAACACAAAAATGTTAATATATTATTGAGATGGTTACTGTTACTTTGGAAGTCGATTTATCCAGTTTAAGACCGAGCTTGGATAATCAGGTTTGATTAGACATGGAACAAGGATTGTTTGATTGGAGTAATTTGTGATTTGAAGTATCATACTTTGAATAAGTTGAGAATATTCTGGTGATTGGAAATATTTATTCCCATAATCTGATATCGACGCTAATAGAAGTTCGTGTTCTTGAAAATTATTATCAGTTGGGATTTTCAATAGTGGTAATCGTTTCAATGCGTTTGAGAATGCTTTACGATCTTGAGTTTTTTCATTAGAAGATTCATCCTCATCGGGACCTGATGGAAATATTAATTTCGTCATGACGTCTGCAAAGGAAAAACGGAGCAACACAACTAAATGAACGCAAAGAACATTGTTCTCCTTTTTCTGTTCTGCTTAAAATAGAAAAAAATAAATCAAATATTTCTCCATATGTTGCTACACTACCTCAACAAGAACATGAAATTCAAAATGTGAATGTAAACAGTTTTCTATTGGTGAAAAAATATTGCACCATCTTAATAGTGTGTAAATATCTTCTTTCAACAATAGGAATCATAGATGCTGAGGATCTCCTAGTTCACATTTGTACTCGGTGATCACTTCGATTATTTAGAAGTTTGAGGGTGAGGGTGGGTGTGGGTTTTTGGTCTATAAATTTACCAATAACACTCTGAATCTCTCCAGAAGCACTTCAANCCCTGACCAGTTAAAGAATGAAATGTCCCGTCCTTGACATTCGCGAAAACAAAAAACGCTTTTTTTTCTTGCCAATACTCCAAATCATCGAAAATCTTCAACGTTCCTTCGATTTGAAAATCACATGAATGACAATCTTGAAAATTCAATGGACTACGAATGGTGAATATTTGTCCAGCAGGAATGATTATTATTCCACCATTTCCACACATTGACAGAGCTTGATGAATCGCAGGTACATCATCAATCGAACTATTTCCGGCTGATGTTGGTTTACAAACATTTTTGCCAAATGAGAATGAAACGTTTAGAAATATGAAATAAATTAAGAAAAACAAGTGGATTGGTCTCATCATTCGAGTTTATTTCTTGTCAAATAATCGTTTACAGTTGTTTTTATTACGTTAAGAACGACGTACATTGATATTCTGCGATAAGAAAAGAGAAAAAAAGCAGAAAAGAATATTTTTATCATTCTTGGTTAAATACTTTCAAACTGAAATGTTTATGTAAATGTAATCGAAATTGGATTCATGTAAACTCGACCTGGACCGGCTGCTGAAACGGAATATTTTCCAAAAGTATTTGGTGAATAAGTTGTGTATACTAAGATATATTTAACATCAGATCGAAGTACGGCTGTAACACGGAATTGATTACTACCAGCTGAGTCATCATCTTGACCATGGACATTTATTTGAGGTGCAAATGGATAGAAATTTCCTTGATATATATAACCAAATGTGTCCATATTACTTGTACTTGTGAATGTGTAAGTGCCTGTGATGCTTACTTGTATTTCAAATGCTTGGTAGTAATATTGTCCTGTTGAACCTCCGGTGCGATTATAAAATGGATTTGAAGATGTTAAATCACCATTATAAAATGCAGAGACGATTATTGCTGAAGTTGTTGCTTAAAAATGAAAAAAAAGTTTTTTCATTTTACTTTAAAATGATTTTCGGAACGCACTAGTTGATGTCGTTGTCGTCGTTGTTGTCACAGGATTTAATGGAGAAAAATAGATATTTCCTGGACCTTGTGCAATAACTGAAAAAGGCCCTGTATTACCTGCATTATGAGTCGTTACAACCAATGTATACGGAATTCCAGCTTGGAGATAAACAGGTAATTTGAATTGACTTCCAGCCGCTCCATCATCATTATGAGCAATTAAATTAGATTGAGGATCAAATGGATTAAATGTTCCATTGTAAAGATAACCGTGTGTATCTAATCTGCTCACACTTGTTAAGTCATAGTAACCGGATGTTGGAACGTATAGTTGAATTGCTTCATAGTAAGTTTGAGGAGAACCTCCAGGACGTGTGTATCTTCCGTCTAAAGAATTTAATTCACTTGTATAATTTGATATTCGCTGTATTGGCTCAGTCGTTTGAGAAACTTAAAATAAGTAATAGACTTTTCAATAGGCGAATATGAAATTTTTGCTCAAACCTGTTCCTGGTGGACATGATTGTTCATTGATCATTGATAATGGATAGCAAACTGGCTGGGAATTACATCGAGGATGACGAATACAAATTTCGTTTGCGTCACATGCATCATTCGGTGGTCGACATTGAGGAAATTGTCCACAGGAATAGCTAACTAATCCGCAGACATACATCGAACTCGAAAATGAATATTGTAAACATCCACATTGAGCATTTTGTGAACATTGAACATATTGAGATGAATTTCCAGATTGACATTGACATTTTATTGAAACTATTTCAAAGCATCGATGTTTTTCTTATTGTAAAGGGAAAATTTGCTAAACTTACCGACCAAACTAAAATAATAAAGAAAGTTTTGTTATCAGGCAAAAAGAAAAACAAAATTCTTTACCTTAGAAGAGCAACAACAAGACAATAAACATTTGCTTTAAACATGTCTGGATCGAACAGTAGAAGTGAAACTACTGCAAAATTCTCTGCATACGTATTTATACCACTAATTAAGAAATTTGATTCAAATGTTATTTTCGTATATTTTACATTAAGTTAAATATTAACATAAAATAATGATGTTTTTCAGATCTGATCAAATTTCATCTTTATTTGCGAATATTTTGCGAGAGAAAATATTCGTGCATACAGTTATACTAACTATTGAAATGAAATTAGTTCCGAACATGATTTTCATCCAGATTCATCTGAATGAATAGGAGTGTAGACATCTCGTTCTCATCTTCATATTCCAATTTTTGGATAAGTACAAGTTCAAATACTGAGTATGTATAATTAAACATTATATGTCATGTTTTCACTTGTACCCAGCATATTTGTAATAACATACTATTTGGGTTCCAGCGTGATCCTATTTGTCATTATTTAGAAATTCTATATTTAAAGGTATATTTGTAAGAATAACGAAAGCTGAGACTATGTCATTATAGTTGCATTAAGTATCAGTCTACATCGATGAATATGATATGATATTTTCTACATTATCCTATTAGACTGCATTTAGTTTGTTTTAAAAACTGAACTGGTCAGGGTGAGGGTGAAAATTTTATGATTGGAATCGATAGAGCTCATCGAGTTCTACATGGTCATAGTATGATCATAGTTCGCACGCACTCTCATGCGGATCGACCCTAGGAAAAGTCAAATCCGGAGTTAAGATATCCTATGTTTATTAAGTTGTCCTTATACTTCTTAAAGTAGTTTCTTTTATCGTACTTGTTGCTGCTCTCATATAACTTTATTTGTCAATGATAATAGTAATTCGCAATAAATAAATCCGATCAGAGAGAGGATATGAATTCTCAAGCACCCATCGTCACCCTCAAGATGGTGAAATTTCGATAGTAAACTCAATCAGATTCCACACTAAGACTCTAGCTGTTGAAATCATCCTGCTATAAGTCTAACATGATTCAGATAATCGTATAGTGTAATAGAAAATTCAGCCGTAAGCGATGATCACTTCGGTTATCATATTTAACACATTACTTATGAAAGTTTCGTTTATCGTGAAATGAAGAAACATAGTGTTAAAAATATGATTTGAGGATTTTTAACAGTAATTTGCGAAGTCTAAAAGTTCACTATTATCATGTTCCCATTATCTAGCCATTAAGTGAGATTTTATTAGAGCTTCCATTAATCGATGATGTTCCACTCCTTGTACTTCCAAATCTGTATCTATGTTTTTTTTTATATATGAAGAAGATTCGAGGAAAACCAATTTACTCAACAACAAAAGATGTACACGGTTATTTTCCTGAGACGTGACAACAAACTATACTTCATTCAAAGAATGATCACCCAATTGTAGATTATATTGATCGAACACCAACACAAGTTTACTTACTTTTAATGCGCAAAGACGGTTTGAAGTGCATTCAATCTTGTTCTTCGTGTCGAAAACTCCAATATTTAAATGCTCCTACGACTAATTCAATGCAAATTCATGTTATTTCTCAACTCAATCAATAGATACAACAATCAACCAATTCTTTTCAAAAATTGACATCCATATCTCATTCAGAACACAGCATTATACGTTGTCCTCAAGGACATTAATCATGATTCCTCCGAAAAGAGCGCTTGTATAACATGAATTATCCATGTCAACTTTCTTTGAAGTTTCTCCATGATGAACCAATCTTATGGTCGATCACCGACACCTTTATCCTCGACATAATATGGTGTTCGAGTCTTACGCAAAACATTCGTGACAAAAAAAACATTTCTTCACTCATCTTTGTCGTGTTTTTCACATCTGATAATCAAACGATTCTTTAGAGTGTAGCTCCGCTCGTCCTGAACACTATGCGTTAAGGTGTACTTATTAAAATCGATAGTCTCTGAAAATGCAATCCGATTTTGATAAAGTTCTTCGAGAATAGACAAAACTCTCGGATGAAATCCAAAGTTGGCGTACTTATTGAAAAAAACTCACAAACAATCACATTGGATTGCAAAAGAATTTTACATAACACATAGTCAAGATATTTGACATGTTTTCGACTTTGTTGGTTCATTTGTAATTTGTTCCAGGTATAATTTTCGTAGCAGAAAAGCAAATGTTGTGAACTGATGTGGTAAAAGGCGTTTATCTTTGCATACTTCACTGAATTCATTCGAATAAATTTGTCGTTGTGATTCGATTTTGTCATCATTCTCAAGACTCTTTGCGTAATTTAACATGTGAGAACCATTTTCAAATTGATATAATTTCCACAGATCCATTGGAATTTGATTTTCCTGAAACCATTGTTTAATATCATTTTTATTCCATTGATTAACTGGTTTTTTCGAAAGATCGACTAGCTCGTGAGCATCTTTTTGACTAACTGGAATGTCATGATGAACAGGCAATGTTGATGATTGTTCATCTTTTGTTAAATTGATTCCGAAAAGATTTTCTTTGATCATCTCTACGAGCTCTTTCAATTTCTCTTGTTCCAATTGTTTTACATTTCTAAATCGAACATATTTCATAATGCACGTATGAATAGCTAGAGAGAGAAAAGAGAAAAATTTTGATAAGGAAATTCAGATAAATCACAGTACCTATCCATCCCGGTGGTTTATCATCCAAAATAAAGATTGGGATGATAATTTTCTTCAAATGATCATGTGCATAGACAAATTCTTGTTGACACGATTTACTTTCGTAATATTTACTTGATAATAAACATAAAATAATCTTTGCATCTGCCATTCCATCCGCTATTTTTCCCCACAAATAACCTGTTTTAGTATTTTTCCAATCAATCCAAATATCAAATTGACTATTGTATTTGTCCAATTCATTGTAGATTTGAGAACAAACGCTATTATCACTATGAGCATAACTAATCATAATTGATGGTTTTTTATCTTTTGTTAAGATTGATGTTTGTTGTTGATTCGAAAGATTAATTTGATTGTTGTCAATATTACAAAGAATACCTTCTGCAGCTTTTTGGATATTTTCCATATATTTCGGCACATAATGAGTTGGATCAATCAGAATTTTCTGATGAATAAGTTCGTCTAATAAACTTTTTAATTGAAGATTTTCTTTCAATTCGTCTTTATATTGTTGTCGAAGTGAAATACTCCATAGAATATTACAAAATGCTGTCAATGTTGATAATTTCAACGGATCATTTTGTTGAACTTGTTTGTGAAAATTTACAAATAATTCAATAAAAAACTTCACAATCGAATCAGCATCAAATTCCACTTGTGCATGTTGTAAAATATAATCCAATGTTCTTTCATAACAAATCAATCGAACTAAAACGATCGACGGTTCAGAAATATGCCATCCATCACTCATATATGTCGGTGGTCGTTTTGATGCATCATTAACGATTTGTAGCAATTGATCAAGAATGTTATTCATTCGTTTACGTTCATTTTTAATTTGTTCAGGTGTAGAAAGAAGTGCCATTGTCATTGCACAGATTATATTGATTTCAGTAATTCGATGATCTTTTTGAAATTCTTTTAACTTATTTGTTGCATCAAGTGCATTCAAAATTTGTACACCTTCATCATGACGACTGATGTTATAAATTATACCAATAAGGTATTTATAACTCGGTGATGATTGTTCGCTAAAATATAAAAATGTTGATATATTAGTGAGATGGTTACTTTTACTTTGGAAGTCGATTTATCCAGTTTAAGACGGAGCTTGGATAATCAGTTTTGATTAGACATGGAACAAGAATTGTTTGATTGGAGTAATTTACGATTTGAAGTATCATATTTTGAATAATTTGAGAATATTCTGGTGATTGGAAATATTTATTCCCATAATCTGATATCGATGCTAATAGATGTTCGTGTTCTTGAAAATTATTATCAGTTGGGATTTTCAATTGTGGTAATTGTTTCAATGCGTTTGAGAATGCTTTACGATCTTGAGTATTTTCATTAGAAGATTCATCCTCATCAGGACCTGATGGAAATATTAATTTCGTCATGACGTCTGCAAAGGAAAAAAAGGAGCAACACAACTAAATGAACGTAAAGGACACTATTCTCCTTTTTCTGTTCTGCTTAAAATAGAAAATAAATCAAATATTTCTCCATATGTTGCTACACTACCTCAACAAGAACATGAAATTCAAAATGTGAATGTAAACAGTTTTCTATTGGTGAAAAATATTGCACCATCTTAATAGTGTGTAAATATCTTCTTTCAACAATAGGAATCATAGATGCTGAGGATCTCCTAGTTCACATTTGTACTCGGTGATCACTTCGATTATTTAGAAGTTTGAGGGTGAGGGTGGGTGTGGGTTTTTGGTCTATAAATTTACCAATAACACTCTGAATCTCTCCAGAAGCACTTCAATGACTGAGAATAAAGGAAGAAGATTACGCAAAAAGAAAAGGCAACTAACTATTGGCATGAATTCGTATGCATAATGTAGACTACAATGATAGATATGAAAAAAGACATGAGTCATATTCAGAGAACGAAAAGTAATGTTTGTGTTCTGCACACTTCATATGATGCAATTATTGTACGAAGTGAATCATTATGTTACAAATAATTAGTGAATGATGAAATGAAAAAAGATATCTCGCTACTGCAGGGAATCGAACCCTGGTCTTCGGTCCGACAAACCGTGATACTACCATTATACTACAGTAGCTTGTACTTTTCTCAGCTCAATACTGAGCAGTCTTCTTTCTAAAATTAAGAGCTACACAAATATCAGTACAAATTGAACTGCGATTTCCTTTAAAAAGGGGAGCAGAACCTTCTGTTTCGGTGTCATACAGTTCAGACATACTGATGAACATCCACAAAGAGTTCATCGTGATGATGCCGCTACTATCCATTTTCATTTCTACAAAATTCTCTCATAGCTTCTCTATTGTATATAATATGTATGGAACGTCAAATGCAAAATCAAGACTGATATCCCGATCTATGAAATATCGTAATTCAAAGATTCAGTAATGGATTGTATAGCTTCTTCACAGCTCTCGAGTGGGACAAATAGATGGCAGTGCAGAATTATAGAATACAGTTTTGTCTGGCGAGAATGAGTAGATTCTGATAGTTGATAGATCCATCCTTTCACCTTCAACATGATCGATTTGATAAAATCTTCATATTCGTGTTAAATAGGTCAACAAAACTTGTCTATTCGCATAAAAATCTTTCGAAATCACTTTCGAATATTAATATAAAATACAATAATTAATCTGAATATGCTTTCATCACGAGAATTTAGTTTAAAATTTCATAGAAATGGAGGCGAACGCTTTTTCTTCCGGTTCATATGTTATTTTGTCCAGAAATACCTTTTTAACCATCTCAAACACAATACAAACATATTCTCGACATATAAATTGTTACAAATACTCTCAAAAATTGTGTCATTTCTCTCGAATTTTGTTTCAAAATGCGGAAAGACATTTCACTTCTGATCTTTTTTTTGTTTTCACATTTGAGATTTTCTCTTTCAATGTGATTCGATTCCCTCCTTATTGATCTTTTTTCTTAATCAATTCGTTGAGATTTGTTCAAAAACCAGAAATTGTTGAGAAATATTTGTTGAAGTAAAGAAAACAATGTGAAATGCAAACTGATGTTTTTCTTTGTATTTCTCCATTCAATTTCAAATTGTAACAAAGTTCTTCTCATTTTCTTTCGTAGAAACTTCTGAAATTCTATTAGAATCTTTGATTTCCTACACAATTGAGTGGAATTCTCAACTAATTTCCATAATCAGTGAAAAAGTCATCGTCACAAATGACGATGGGAAGTATTTGGATGTAATTTAGGTGTGAATAACAAATGGCGTCAACAATGCTGATCATTTCGATTTGCGTTGTGTTAATTTAAAAAAGCGATGTATTGTGTTTTAGTGAAAAGATGATCAATGATTTGAATTGAGATAATTAATTGAATATTTATCAAAGTTGAGAGAAAAAAAGAATTAAATTGTTAATTAAGATCTGAAATTGAAAATAAATCTTTTCTTTGATTTTCTCAGATGAAAATTTGTAAATTGTAAAATAAATTTTCTTATTTAATAAAAAACCATTGAATTTCTTTATTTTCTTCACAAATTTTCACCTGACAAAGAAATTTGAAATCTTTGTGTAAAAAGAGATTTTGTCATTTAAAAATGATGACAAAGCAAATTCTGTTGATTTGATTTGAGAGATCAAATATCATTTTATTGTCATTACTTCAAATCATCACGTACAAATGAACAAAGTCTTTTGAGAAGAATTTTCAATTGAATTTTTCTCATTGAAGGGAAATCAAAGAAAAGAATTTTTAAAAAGCAAAATCTTTTCTTTGAAAATCAAATAAATTGACGATGGAAATGAATTTTGTATTTAAATTCCGAAATTGAATTAATCGATGAAAAACTTCACTTAAAAAAAAAGAGAAAAACTTTTGTTACATTTTGATATTTGAATAACGAGACGTGTTGATTTCTGTTTGAGAATTGAAATTCTGAGAAAATCTCGAAATGAACATTTTTATATAAAATAGACGTGAGAAAATCTTTGTTTTTTAATCAAATATTTTCATTTGGATAAAACAAAAAGAGAAGAATTTATTGATTTTCTTTTGTTTTCAATTTTCTCACGTTTATTTTCATTTGGATTTTATTCAATAAAATCTTCTTTTTATTCACAATTTTTATTTCTTTGATTCAAATGAATTTCTCGTTTTGTCTTCTTTGGATTTTTATTCAAAGAATTTCAACTCTTTCGTTTAATCAACCCGAATTTTGTTCAAATGCAATTTGGAATAAATCTGCAATTACTTTTGCTGATCAAAACATTATTGGAACAAGTCCCCGTGCTCTTTTTATAAACACAAACAACACAATCTATTCATTTAATCGGGATACAAAACAAATTCTAATCTGGGCCAATCAAAGTTCAAATCCAACAAAAAATATTTCGGGGAATTTCGCCGATTCATTTTCGATATTTGTGACAAATGTTGGAGATATTTTTATCGATAATGGTTATTTGAAGAAACAAGTTAATCAATGGATTCAACGAAATGAAAGTTTCATCACTGTCATGAATGTCGATTCTTTATGTTATGGTTTGTTTGTCGATCAAAATAATTCGTTGTATTGTTCAATGTACAATGAACACAAAGTGGTGAAGAGATGGTTGAACGATGTTGATTTGAAACCAAAACTTGTTGCTGGAAATGGCACTCAAGGTTCTGCTCTCAATCAACTTTCTCT